TAGTGGTGTTCACATTATGTTGCTACATGTACCGCACATTGAATCAAGATCCTACTTTCTAACCGAAACATACATGTACATTAGGTACATGTAGATTGGTACATGTATCCCTTAACTATAGATAAATCCTATTATGAAAACAACCAAAGTCAGTTGGGTACATATCTTTTAGATAAACAGCTTTAATTGTACTCAAGTATCAATATCTCATAGTACTATTAACATCTTACAACTTTAATATGCTTTTGTCTGGATATTAAATCATTTATAAAAATCATAATTGGAACCGAATGTTATAGAATTGAATGGCTGGTCAAACACCCCTACATTTTTAACGCACAATTTTGTAGGATAAATCAACAAACACTGTTCACACAGTGCCACCCAGGCCCATTTATTCATGTAATAAGTATTGCCTTGTGATAAGAACCCCTAATAACACTTTAATTGGGGCTTACATGGTCATGTAATACACACCCCCAGGGCAAATGTTAAGGGTCAGTGAATTTGTTAAACATTAAATTAACACCCCTACAGGTGTTGCAAGTTTGATTATCCTTGAACTTGAAGAAATATCTTAAGGAAATTCTCAGATTGTTTAACACCAAAGGATTCAATTTTAAAACTTCAAGAATCACTAGTTTGATATTAATAATTAAAACAACAATTTGGAAGATTTAAGAGTACATACATATGTACACTTTTTGAGGCTCATTCAATGTTCCCTCATTATAAATCTGTTATGGTATGACTCAACAACAGTTAAATACCTGTAACTATATACATGTACATGTACATGTAATCTACATATTGTAGAATATACATAATGAGTTTTTTGACCTTGTATGAAGGAAATTTGCCCGAAATTCATTTAACTGTTGACCTTTTTCACACTGCAATTCAAAACTTGTGAATGATTTTAACGATTATATTACTTAATTGTGGAAGCAGACATTAAATAAAGTTCTTTCCCACACACACACACTTCTGAAATTATGTCAATTAACCAGAATTATGCACAAGAGCTAAATCTGCCTATTGCAGGTCTGTCTTTAGGCCTTAAATGTTATATAAATTATTAATTAGAAATTTATTAACATGACAAGACCATAATCATCTCTCGATGCGATCAGAAGCTCAAGATTTTAACTAGATTAGACCAGTTCGGCCATTTAATGATTTTTAAATTTAAAAATGGAGAAGTGAGGCCAAGACTCGAATATATACCAGTACTGTACCGTGGTTACGATAATAAACAATCAATGCACGCATTTTGTCAAACTACAAACAGTGATTACCTGGCTCAGAATATAGTAATCTGAATAAAATTTTCAATACACTAATTTTGCATTATCTACTTTGGAACTACTAAAGCGAGAACAACCAGTTCTTTACCTAAATCTTGCATAATGTACGTTTAATATGTTACTTAAATTGTTATAATAAGCTTATATCTTTACACCAAAGATGGTGTCTATAAGACAGGAGGGATTTCTAACTTGAGTGTTAATAAGCTTAGTGAAGACAACAAAATAAATAACAAAATTTAACCTACTTAAAGGTTACTTTACTTCAATGTAAATCTATAATATTTCTTTCAGCAAAGATCCTAACTAAACAAAACCAAAAATAGGAAAAATTAGACTTTTACTTTGGTTTTGTTTACAGTGTTTTATGAAAAAAATGTTCTAAATATATACACATACATGTATATATAATTTCATATGTAGGGAATGATTGTCATATGGGACTGATTTAAAACATTTACCGGTAGTTATTTAGAGCTATTTCGAAATCTATCAAGCTATAATGTTCTCTGAACTTGAACATTATAGCACAATGTTACATGTACATGTGCATGTATGTGTGGGCACTTGGTGTATAGATTTCCTTATCTTTTTGTTTATTATAAGGGAGTAATGTCCTTTGAAGTTAGATACATGTACATGAAAATTGAAGGTGACTTTAATAATATAGAAATACACTTCAAATAGGTAAAAAAAAAGCGAATCATTCCAGTTACCAGTACAAAACCAACATGTAATATTTCATATCTAAGACAACCTGTTTTGTATTTAAAATGTCAAACACAAAACATCTAATGCCGGATCAAAAAAGTTCAGAAAGATTCACCTTTCAAAAACAAACAAGAAATGACAACTTCTACTTCAGGACGAATAGGTTTAGTTAGTCCATCAGAATGTACTCATTAAACATGACAAAAATGTCGCAAAATATCAACCAAGTTTATAAGACCCAAGGAGAGGTCATTTGATAAAGATAAGAAACACTTTTTAACACAAATCTTAACACCTATTTCGTTTAATATATAAAATTTGAAAAGCACAAATGGCACTTGTATGTTACCTGCCACTCAAATAGTATCAAAGACAGGTTGTCAGGCAACAAAACATGTGCCCACAGCAGCTCAGTCATCTGAGTAGACCGCAAAGGGTTTAATCAGTGATTATCAGAAATTGATGAAAATCAATAGGATTCTTCTCTCATGAAGTTAAACACTGTGTATAATTTTCAATCATATGGTAGCGTTACCCTCTATGAGAGCTTGATGTGGACACCCGGTCTGTCAACAATATACCAATACATTTAATGTGGATGTTGTTTAAAAAAAACAAAGCACTAGCCTTCTTGAAGGAAGTTATTTATTGCAATTGTTCATCACATTTCTTGAAATCTGTTTAACTTGTAAATTGAACCTTAAAATATTCTGTACAGTACTTATATGATGAATTGGTAGGAGTACATGTATCTCCAAATTTACATACAAATATATTTTGAGCATCCCTGATGTAATCATGCTAAAGCTAAGATTATTTTTTTATCAGCCAGCAAAGATCTCTAAAGAGCCTTCTTAACATTCAAATCTGTATTGTAAAGGATTTGCAAGATTAGTCAGGCAAGTATGTTGAATACTCAATGTGGAGATGTAAGAATAATACTTTTGTTTTCATCAACTCAAATGAAAAAATTATAAGACAGAATATTTCACACATTTAAGACACAGTAAGATGTTAAACCCCATTTCATTTCATTTCATCTATTAATGGATACAACATACAACATACATGTAATGGTAAGACAAACAACTAACTTGTGGGAAATACCTGTGCCAAGAGCAACTGAGCCTTCATGTACATGTACACGTATGTGACAATTCATTGGATTCAGGACAAAATGCTACACAATTAATCAATAAAGTAAATTGATTATGTAATTGACTGTAGAATGCTGCATTCCATAATATACTCCAGGGATCAAACAAAGTAGTGTTCTGTTTAACACATCAAATACACATTATTAATAATGGTTTTTTTTATTAACTTGTGTGTGTTAATCAGTTATTATCAATAATCATTACGGTACACTGTTTAATAATATTAAGTCCTATAATTCACTACCATTAATTGACAGATGTATAAGTGGTCCAGTATGGCCGGGTGTTACGATTTAACTTGGTACTTGATTTAGCTCTGTGGAAAGCAGAGCTATGTTTCTACAAACCATAATGCTTGAAATTGACATGAAGATCTTGTCGAAATGGAGCTCCGATTAATCTAATACAGTAATTGTTTTTGGCAGATTCATGGACCTTATAATAATGTATTATAAGGTACATGGCAGAATTGTCATGTTTAATGTGTGTTGTGTTCACTTACATGTAAAGGGTGTATGGCTGTTTTGGAACCTTGAAATGGACAAAAATGGTTCCAAAAGTACATTTTAATGTAATATGAATGACTGTATGTAATGTGATTTATATTTAATTTTTGAACAAAATATTGTAATTTCTAATCAATTATGTTCGATGAAATAGTTGTCAGTGAACAGTTCAAATTGAACAGCAGTCGTTTACGTCTGCTTAGTGCATTCTACACGTTTTTTAAATTATTACTTCCACATTGTGTTGTAGGATATTTTTTATTTGTTCATTACAAAATGGCAACTGAAACCATAGGGTACATGATCCTATATTTTCACAGCAAGATAACAACATCAATATTGAATTCTACATGTACATGTAATTCATGTTTTTAATTTCGAATATTATGGAAAATATTGACTTAGAAGTTAGAGACTTAGCTCCTTTAAATGCCATTTAAACAGTACTTAAGTTTGGTTCTTTGTATCTTTTGGGTTCCCTGTTTTATACCCATTTTACAACAGTTGAGAATTGATAAAAATGTTTATCCTGACATTAGATGGAAACAAATACATGTAATGATAACAAATTTTGAAATGCATCTAGATTCGGAAAGTTCACCACATTAAAAATATTAGCCATAAAATATGTATGCATATTTTTACAATTGAGCTAAACAAATTATGACTTGATAAATTTGTGACAAATGGGAAAATATAATTCAAATGACAATAACCATTCAAAAATATAATATCAGGATAGTAAAGATATATTTCAAATATCAAAATACTGCCTGCACACATGGAAATAACATGCTGCATATATCAAGGTTAAATCAATATACAATATTGTGGTGGATGAGCTTAAATAATATACAGTATAATACGAGTATACTATGTGTAAACAAACTGTGGGATATTAATTCATATTGCACAGTAAATTCTGAATTATTCATAATCTATCTATATCATCATAATATTGCACAGTAAAGTCTGATTGACCCAATAATGTCATCTTATCCAAAAAAAGTAGCCAAGGCTTCTTTAGTCAAAGTCTAAATTATTATTCCTCAACCCAACACAAACATCTAGGGCACATGGCAAGGTATGTTTACTTAGGCAGTCTTTCTAGAGTGGTTAATGGGTATTCAGTTAATTTTACAATAAAATTTACATACATTAACAGTACTTTAGCCAGTAATTCCTACATACAAGGTGAAAAATTTAGATACCAACATACCTAATGTGGTTCATTGATTCATAAACGCTGGCTAGTGTCCAGCAAAACATCTATTTGTCTGGACAGGTCGAACAAGTTCACAAAAGTTTTTCCAACTTACCAATATCCGAAGGATTTATCATCGCATTTATCCTCTCCATATCTCCGCAGAAATTATCTTCAACTTCACAATGTCTAAACAGCCCAATATTGAGTGTGGGTACCATTGATCTCGAATGAAGCCAGTGTGGAGTAGCAATCGCGAGGGCATTCAACACCAAACTCATCAAAGAGCACATCATACCAAAAACAGCACACACACTCGCCATTTTTTCGGTTTTTCTGCTGTTTTCACTCAAAAATAAAGTTTTGGCTGGTTAAGAATTGTTATCAATATGGCTTCGCGTTTTCCTCTTCTATTACGCGTCAAGTTCGTCCGTCTTCTTACACACCTAAAATAATTATCTCGTAATCACTCACAGAAATCCAAAACTCGTTCTTTCTTTGACAACTTGACAAAAGTAATGGCTCGTGTGACGTCTCCTCTTTGTGTCACTTCCAGATCATAATAAACACAGATGACCCGTGTTGGACACGTGATCAGTAAACGTTAAATGATTGACAGCTAATTCCACGCCTTTTTGTAACCTTAGTCTTCAACATCCAGCTATATTTCAATTTTTCGTTAATAGGTAACCCGCTAGAGGATGTTCTGCATGCCTTTTTCTTTTATTGGTTTTAGCCCTAATCCTTTTTATTACGTTAAAAATATTGCGACATTATAAACCATTATGATTGCTTGAAAATAAATCCTATTATGTCATAACCACGTCTATGATAAGGATTATAAATTATATTTCTATCGAAAAATAGCGAGAGTAAGGAAGACCATTAGAGTCAATCAAATAAAAACATATTACGATTATCTCGTAATTACAAGATAACTATCTCGTAATTACAAGATAACTATCTCGTAATTACAAGATAACTATCTCGTAATTACAAGATAACTATCTCGTAATTACAAGATAGCGAGAGAGGCATTAGTATTCAAAGGGGAATATTTACCTTTAACAATAAGACATATATAATTTTTAAAAAAAAATTATTTTTAAAGCCTGTGTCTTTATCTTTGAAATGCCAAAGTAACTCAAAACAGTGTTGGCAGGTACCGGGGGATTGGTGCTGAATCGAAACTGAACTAAAGCCAATACAAGATATCGAAATCTTCTTTGATGGCAACACGTTTCGACTTACAAGTATTTAGATTGCTGCATATAAAGTCAAAATATAAAATGCACTAAAAATGAAGACGACGAAATATGAGATTTGCCTGAAAAGTGAAAACCAATGTCCCGAAGGCATTATATATTATTATCTATTTCTTTCTAAACACTGGATGGGTGATCAGTTTTTATGTGTTGAATTGTTTTCGTTTGTGTGAAACACGTGCAACTTCCCACTTTCGTTTTCGTTTGCGTGAAACACAACTGGTGCAACTTGCCACTTGCCAATTCACCTCAACACATATTTTGATGTAGTTTTGGTATTTCCAATGATTTTATATTGGAAATGTAAGATAAACAGTGACAACTGAGTTCAGAATAAAGTAATTTGACTGAAATTTTCAATATTTTCTTTTTTTATCATCTATTTTTTAATTATTATAGCAAGAATGGCCAACTCTTTATTAAACTCTTAACTAATGTACCTTTAATGGCCGAACCGTTCGAACTAATCTACTTAAAATCGGACCCATCCGATGACATCGATAGTTGATTATGGTCTTGTCATGTTAATAAATGTCTAATTAATAGTTTATATAACATTTAAAGCCTAAAGACAGACCTGCACTGCAATAGGCAGATTTAGCTCTTGCGCATAATGCCTGGTTAAATGACATAATTTCAGAAGTGTGTGTGTGTGGAAAAGAACTTTATTTAACGTCCGCTTCCACAATTAAGTAATATAATGCTATCTCCGAAATCGTTATTCCAGCAAATAAATAAACATGTGTGCGAAAAAGCTTTATTTGCGGTCTGCTTCCACAGAAGTATAATGTCGCAGACAAGTTCATAGAGCACAAACCCGAAATGAGCATCGGTAATATTTGCTTTTTGTCCAATTTTTCAATCCATACATGTAAATCTAATATAACGTTTATAATGATACTTTATAAAAACAAAGAAATATTTCATCGGATTATAATCCCCCAAAACAACAATAATGTTATTTTCGAAGTCATAGTGTGTATATAGTGATCTTGTCTGTGTTTTTATATCATCAATTGATTAAACCCATTTACTTAGTGTTACGTATTAGCTTTTATATCGGTGATTTGGTAGACTATATAAATACTCCTATACAAAGCTGATTGTCACCATGGAAACTAATATACTAATAAAAAACTAATTAGAGTACATCTGAAGAAACGCATGAAACCATCTAGTACCCGCCTTGGAGCCAACCCCCACCCTCTCACCCCCTCGTTGACGTTCATTTAAGGTAGTAATAACTGTTATTAATTTATAAAAAAACCAGCGGCTGCCAGGCAGGATACGCCCACATTTTCGAGACATGGATAGAGAACAGGCTAAAAAGAAAGTGATTTTTCCTACAATCAAGGGCCATAATTCAGGAAGTTACGGCCCAATATGCGCGAATATCGAAAGGAACCGAGATCTTTGGATTATCAACTTACATTTCAAGTTTCACCAAAATCGGATAAAAATTGTGACCTCTATAGTGTCCACAAGCTAAAAACGTGATTTTTCGTACAAACAGGGGCCATAATCCATGAAGTTTCGATCCGATACATGCCAATATCGAAAGGAACCGAGATCTTTTGGAGATAAACCTATATTTCAAGTTTTGTCGAAATTGGATAAGAATTGTGGCCTGTAGAGTGTCCACAAACAAATTGTGGACGGACGGACGGACAGGGGCGACGACAGTACACGTCCACTTGAAAATGTGGGCGTATAAAAAACGACCAAATTCAGCCTTGCAAGGAGTTACACATCACATTATGGGCATCTACACCCATATTGAACCCTATACGGACCTCGACATTGAAAGCTCTAATTTTGTAATTAAAAGCTCTAGTTTTTAAATTGATAGGCTATTAAAATAGTGTTAAGTGACGTGATTATGAGAGATAAAAAATGAGCAGTATTCTAGAAGATTTTAAGTACCAGACCTTAACAGTGTAAGAAGATCTAAATTAATATGCATAGTCAACGATTAATATGATTAAAATTATTCTGGCTTGATAGTCTTATTACCGCTTTAAAACATTAAAACAATCCCTTATGCAGGGCCAGTGGAAGCAGTTCTTGAATGGGGGGCATCTTTAGGAAGAAGAAGAAATGTTTATTAAAGTGTCACACGATTTTCATTTACATATCATAGTTCAGTTAAAAACTTGATTAAAAAGAACACCGCCCGACCACAATAGCCTATGGGGCACTGGATGTATATATATATTTCTAAAATAAAGATTAATATTAGAAAACATCATATTATAAAATAGTATCATATAACTTTTAAAACCCAGGAACTCCTTTGAAACATGTCTAATATATAATTGCATGTCATACTGGGGTTGTTATCACCAGAAAAATACTAATAACTTTCTCTTTTAAATGAGACTTATTTATAGTTTCGACATAGTTTGTGCTGTTTCGTTTTAGACCCAGGAAGACTTTACATGCTCGATTTTTTGATTTTACAATAAAGAGAGTCCGTAAAGTGAAGCCATTTTTCAACTTTCTTCAGGTTATTCCAGATTAAAGTTAAACATACATTATGCAAGGACTTAATCTGTCTATTGAGTGTCTTTCTTTAGGCCTGAAATGTTATATAAACTATTAATTAGACATTTATTGACATGAAAAGACCGTAATCAACTCTCGAAGCCATCTTGTGTGTTCGATTTTCACTGGATTTAAATCCGATCTGCTGGTCAACGGTCTCTGATGAAAAGCACAATTGGATAATCGTGCCAACTTAAATAATGATGATCGAGGCTAGGCCTAAAATTCAATCGCTATTATCTCGGTTCAGAGTGGAGCAATTTGACTGAAATTTTCAGCATATTCCCTTTACTTTATCTAATATAATGAGCTGCAAGCTCTTTATCTAATCTTCCATAATGCCCCTTTAAGAGAGCAGGAATCCTTTGGTCAAAGAAAAGGTGTATTATAGATTTGGGATGCCCAACATAGTCGAGAAAAATAATAACTTGTCGTTATTGTATGATGCGTGAGCTAAGGTCTAGTTTTGTTAAGCGCAAAATTCCATATACAACAAAATTGAATCAAAATAAACAGTAAAATAATGTTTCCTGACTTCTTACTGACCCAAACTGTAACCCTAATCCAAATTAGAAGACCGACGGCCAATATTTTCTGTAATTAAATAAAAAATATTTTTTTCCCTGATGTTTTCGATCTACACTGTACATATAAAATAATGATATTCTTCATATAGTTTGTACGGTGGCTGATTTAGGACACGCAAAAAAAAAAAAAAAGTCGAGCGCTCGAGATACTAGTCGAGTGACTGAAGGGGGAGTATTGCCACTCGCGAGTAGAATTTATGAGACCCAGTTTGTTTAGAGCGGCGGGGGTTTTTTTTTGGGGGGGGGGGGGAGGGGGAGGGGGGGAATTTCAATTCTGAATGGAGATGGAACGATGCTCTGTTTTGTTTTGCGCAGGGGTCGGGTTTAATCATAAGGCCTATGCCTAAAAATGGCGGGAAATTTGATAGGTCTATAAATGTGGATTTAAATGATGACCATCTTAAAGTTTACATTAATACACTAATGTATAGACGTGTCTATCACTAAATAACAGGACCAGAGCTAGCCCAGAAATGCTGGGGGGGGGGGGGCTTCTGAGGGCGCCGATTTTTTCCAGCTGCCCCCCTCCCCGCCCGCTAGCTACGGGCCTGAATAAGTGTAGGCCTATATGATGCCCCTATTGGACAACTGTTTTGTTTTGTGTGGCTGGGAAGTAGGGGTAGGGACACTGCCTAAAATTAGCGGGAAAGGTGATATAAAAATGATGATCTTTAGGAATACGTCAATTTCCCTCAATGTTCATCTCTCAATAAGTGAATATTAATATGATTCCTCGTCGAATAACTATATCGCTTTGCAATGTAGCAGTCTAAATTGGCGGGAAATTGTATCACATTCTGTTCAAATCGTCAAGAAGCTCAGATTCCGTAACGAACCCCATCGATGTCTTATTCATTGATTTATTGTTGTATAATACGGTGGTTTAAAGTAAAATATTTTTAAACCTCTAGTGATTATTTTCATTTCTATTGTCCATTTAAATCTATAACTTGCATTTCATTATAAATATTTGACTTGAAACAATATGGAGTATGGACACCTGTTTGATAGAGGTAACGCTCGCGAATGCCTTCTTCTAACCATGTGTGTGTGTGAAATATCTTTACTTAACGCCCGCTTCCACCGAAGTGATACATGTTATTTAATAATTTTAAAAAAATTGTTTTAGAATGTAATTAGCAGAAGAAAAAAGAGAGCTAATTAACCCGCCCCGACTTCATCCATTCCAATGATATTAGCGGCCAGGTGACTATTTACTGCTCATCGGGGCTAAATCTATTTGTTAAGGCCAGCTCAATTTTTGTCAAGGTCGCTGAGATAAGGTTAGGGTACGTACGTGATCAGTGCCGGATTAAGGCTCTGCAGACCCTAAGGCACATTTTGATAGGTGGCCTGAAAACACAGATATGTTGGGCGCATTGACAAAAGGAATTAAGTTAAATTTAGCAACAGAAAATTTATTACAAACAAATTCAGAACATTGACAGTACTGTATTTACTATAAGTAGCCTACATATTCCCATTTACTGCCTAGTTCAGAGTATGGAAAGCTTTTAAGGACAAACGCGTAGATGAAGAAGGATGCAATTTATTTACATAAAAATAAAGGCAAGCATTTTTGTCACCACCTGATAATTATCAAAAAAGTTTTACTTTATTATTTTGTGGCCTGGATTTTTGGCTGGCCCTAATGCACGCGCCTCTTATGGTTAATCCAGCACTGTAATTACGTGATGGTTGGCGAGATTGTAGGTAGGGTCAGGGTAATGTATATTGGGGCTAGGTCCAGGGTTAGGGTTGGAATTAGCGCTAGTTCTGTTTACATCTCGTGATCTCTGACGAAAAATTGAGCTGACCTTATCCTTTAGCACTAACCGCCGATCAGATTGGTTTTACCTGTCACAGGTGAGATTAGAACAGGTAACTTCCGGTCTTTCCTGTTGGGAGAAGTGTCATGGCGTCTTAATTGTTGTGACTAATAAATATTTGAGATATTTAAAAAGAGGTACGTATTTAGTTATTATTTCATGTAAAACACATATAGCATGTTTTGGAAATAATGTATGTGCCGTATTAGAACCATAAATGCAAGAATGGGAATTAAATCCTAATATAGAAATTCAAATGGAATGTATCAGTCACACTGTGACTGTTTATTCTTTCAGCTGCTTTATCAAACGAAAGGTTGAACATAACCATCAAATCAATTTGTAATAAACCAAAAACAATTTTATAAAAATAATATGCAGGTAAAATTTACCTTTCACACAAGGTATAGAGACCTTGTAATTACGGAATGGCAATATTTTCACTGTTTAATGTTTACGAAAATGATATTTTATATCTTTATACCTTGACTATATATATATATGTTTGTATAATTTGATATAAAAAAAAATATCTGATGAATTATATTTGAAATAGGCCAATTTAAAACTCGAAAAGGCATGGTCATTAAAAGGCTCTACCAAACGATAAAACATTAGTTGCACTTACCCTTCTTTGATAATCACCGTTCCAGTAAAGGTAATATATTTATAAAAAAAGGAATATATCCTGATGAGTTTATTGTAAATGATCTGCTCAAACCCTAATACAAATATTTAAAAGTCCCTAGGAATTTTTAAAGGTAAGCTGCACTCTGATATGCATTGCTCGACAAGCTTGCAATAGAAAGCAGTACCAATTGATAAATCATTGCGTACAAAGAAAGGTTTTTCAGAAAATATTAGAAATGGCACAGATCAAAGCGTGATAATTAAAGCCGATTAACCGATAATCCTGATGTTATTGTAGTATGTGCAAAGAAATCTTATTAATGGTTTCAATGAGTTACTGTCAAATTCAATACGGTTCTTTGGTGGGTGAGCAAACACGCGAGTTGTCAATAAGCAGTGTTTTTATTTTTTAGTCTTTTATTAATCGATATCAAGTGCAATAGTCCCTCGGTGGAAGCGAACATTAAATAAAGCTATTTCACACATATAAATTAGTTTTCCATGTTTTTGTTTTTTCTTACTATTATCTGCATTGTCTTAATAATGACGTATATAAACCTCATTTTGAAAAATGCAAATTTATTTTGTGGTTTATAATTGTTTATATGTATGTATATGGGGGCACCAAATTCTATAAAGTGCTTATTGGGTATTTATGGTTTAAAATGTGTCCTAATCCAACCCTGATTGCAATAAATAAAGACAACTAACAATGTTATATTTCTTTATTATTGTTACTAAAACTATGCAATAAACATCTTATCTTATCTTATCAGCCTCACTAATGTAAACACACAAATATTCAACAGTCTTTTATCTATTCATCGAGTCGGAAACCAAGTCCGAAACGTTGTCAAACTAAGTCTGAAACGTCGTTTGTGTTGAGTGGGAAATGTCATGCTACCTTTAGATAATAAGGTCTGTTATTGAGTCAAATGGCGTGGTTTTGATTCCTCGTTTGTATGTGACAAGGATTAGGGTCGTCTATCCAACCTTATAAAATTAGTGACATAAAATTGAACCATGTGTTAGTCCCAAAATAACCTGGTGTGTGTGGAGGGGATGTTAAACACTCTCTCTCTCTCTTTCTGATAAAACAGATCTCTTGCTTATAGGGTTTTAACTATAGGTCTCTAATTCTTATGGCGTTCATACAATGTATGTGTATTTAATATTAAAAAATTGATTTTTTATTATTTTTCAGAAATTTGAGAAAATCAGAGAAGATGGGACTTAAAATTCAAAATTTTTGTGCGTCCACACCTTTGGCATTAGGATCAGTACTATTGGCAATCAGTTGCCTGGTTCTGGTATTGTCTGGATTTTTGCCATATTGGTTTATAATTCGTATTAATCCAAATGATGCAGCTTATGGCGTTGAAGGGAAACCTGAGAGTTACTCTATTTCAAGTGGTTTATTTTTCATGAATTCAGGTGAAAACAAATACCAGGATATGGTATTTCTGAATAAAATTACCAATCACCAATTTGCTCCAAGTAAGATTTTTGAACTACATTGTTTTGTACTTTTGTTTAGGTCTTAATTCATGAATTTCGTTATTAAATTTGTATTTTATGAATGATTAATGCATCAGAAGGCTAATTGTCATTTACCTTATTTAACTTTGACTAAAAAATAATTGTTGATAGGTGTTGTGTTCTGTACATACATGTACATGTAGTAATGTAAACGATTTAATGAGTCGATATTTGTCTTTTAGTTCTTCTGGAATATTGTGCCTTTAAAGAACGGTAGGGCTTACAGTATGTCTACTGCATTTAGCTAGTTGTAAGTGCGCTTATGTCGATCAAATCAGCAACTGAATTCTGAGTGCTTTTATCACATATTGTTTCCATGGAAACGAGTTGGGAGACCATTTAAAGAGTGCTCATGTTGACGGGAACTAGTTGCTGCCGACTGAAGCGAGTTGCAGAAAGTTGAAAATGGGCAACTGACTTTAACTAACCTGGAATGAGTTGCTTTGAGTTGAAATCGGTTGCTCCTGGTTGCCAAGCCACCAGCTGCTCTCAGTTGTAAGGTCGACATAAGCCCCACTTAAAGCTCCCAACATGTGGAAATAACACATTGAACACTGGATTTCTTTGACTATAAATGTGTTATATATATTTATTCTTTCTTAGTGTAATACAGGTAATGTGAGTGGTAGACATGCGCTGTTAAAAAATTTCAGAAAAGGAAAAATCTGTGTCTGAGATAATGATGAGCATCTAAGAAATCTTACCTGACATTGTCTGTGACAGTTGCGGTGTTTGCATGCAATAATAGTACCATAATACCATTTAAATATTTTGTTTTTATTCCAGAATCAATAGTTGCCGGTCAGGTTTTCTATATATCTGGTGTCACTGGTCTATTGGGCTGTACAGTAGCAGCATTTATTCTGGCATGCCGTGAACTGGGTTCTGTCGTTGGGGAATTTTTCTTGGCAGGGTTTGTAACTATTTCATGTAAGTAATTTTTATATACATATTTTTTGCTTCTCTCTTCTCTAAGAACTGACAAAAGTAATATAGTGTTCGAAATTTTTTCACTCTTCTGTATAAAACTTTCTCTAATGCCAGTTGTTCCCCTTTTCTCAGTGATGGAGTAGTTAGGATTTCAAATGATAATTACTGTAGAAGAAGAATCTTCAGAATTTTTTTTATGTCTGTTGGGAGTTGAGTTGAAAGACTTATTTTTATTAGTTCCCTAACTAAAAACAAGTCTCGATAAACCAGCCCACTAGCTTGGCCAGCGAGGTTCTGGAACTACTCGTGAAATTCTTCTTCCATTGTAGGGGGGTTGGATAGCCGAATGGTTAGCGCCTGTGCGCTGTATCATAAGGTCTGTCACTGAGTCAACTGGGTTGGTTTCGATTCCCCAGTTGTAGGTGACACGGTCGCCTGTCCAACCTTGTGGATTTTCTCTGGGACCTCCGGTTTCCTCCCACTGTTAAAAAGATCCCACGTGCAAGCGAATTATTGAAATAAAATTGAACCATATGTTAGTCCCGAAATGACCTAGTGGACATTAAACCCCATCTCTCTCTTCCATTGTAGTTGTGGTGAAGTCTCTGTAAGGTTAATCACCATAATTGGAGGCTTACCATCTTCATGATGCTTCATATAATTTTAGGTCACCTCTGTAGGCTGGAACTGAAATGTACATATAATATATGTAATGATATTTACAAGGTCTACTGGATGTCAGTAGAACATATAAGAAAGAATATACAAGGCAGTCGTCTGAGAATGCACAGAACATGATTGGTTGAATCTTATGCATATTATTTACCTTTTTTTTCAGCTCTATGTGTGGTATTAGGAGTTATTTTTTCAGCCTTTGTGTTTTTAAACCCGGATGATAGTGAATGGATCAACCTGCCCATGCACAGTCCTTCTCGTGTTTCTTCCAAAATATCTCCCGAGGGTATAGATATAGACTGGGTTTACTATATAGCCATCATTGGAGCTGGTAAGTTTTTTTTAAACCGTTAAGCGTGACATTTTTAAAACTACCCCCTATTGTGTAATTAATTTGACGGAGTGACGAAGAACTATGTACTATGTTATAAGAATAGGTTGGGGAAAATACCTCCAAGGCGTTATATTACGCCCTTACACACAGTGAGTGGCAGTTGTCCAGGACGTTATATAACGACATACACACTTAACGGGTTAAAAACTAAGGGACTGTTAGCAGTTGGGGTATACTGGACTCTAAACTATAGTCACACTAAACCCCCGTAAGCGTGCTGTACTGAGTACTGAAGTGAGGTTGTCCTGTCACAGTGCCAGACACAGCACCGTTAAATTTTCGTAGTGTAAACACTAACCTGTCTGAGAATGGTTCTCAGTACGGATTACTGCACATACGCCAAAAGAACCTTGACCTTTTTTGCTGCGAACTTTGACAGGTCTGTCATCATTTTTGTCAAAATGGCTGCCCAAACTAAATAACTACAATAATTGTTATTATTTGGGTAATTTGCAATAGAGACTGAAATTAACTTTTCTGTGAAGAGTTCCACATTTGGCATTCCTGGCACAGTGTCATGACCAGTTATTCAAGAGTAATGTAAATAGGTCAATTCAATTTCTTGAAATTTATTGCGGCCTGCACCGTATTCACTGATAATTTTAAAGCTAACTTGTCTCCCAATTCCTTCTTGCCTTGAGAAAACTGCCAAACCAGTTGATTTGGTTAAAGGCTCTGCAATCGTGTCAGTGAAATTACTCCAAACTCAGCATGTAGTTAGCTTTTGTCCTCAGTGAAAACCCTACTATTGTTCATTCTGGGCCGTAACTAGCTCAGAGCAATGAGCAGAGCGGGAAGTGTTCTCAGGGGTGCTGTAAATTTGACGGACAATGTATGTCTATTGTTTTTATGGTCGACAATTTTTGCAGCCCCCCCCTCCCCAGTTACCTGCCTGTTTCATTAGAAACTGAATACAACCAAATGTGATAGAAATTGATAAGAATCCTAATGTAAGAAGTTCCTGTAACTAAATACAAATTTGTCTTTATATTTAGTTACAACTATTATTGGGGTGATATTTATATGGATAGAAGCCTTAAAGACTTGTCGCTATGTAGAGGATATCAGACAGAAGCAGTTAATGGACCCAAGTTACGGGAGAACCGAAGACATAGCCTATACTCAGTTCACATATGAACAATCCTATCCAAAGTCATATCAAGTTACTGTACCATCTGCTCAGCCTCAACGACCAGTTTATTATGGACAGGAAGAAGTGGAGATTGCGAATGTTTCAGGTTTTCAAGAAGTTAATATTTAAGAGAGCAAGGTTTTGTTTTTTTTAAATTTTTACCATGGGTTCATATTTCAGTAAAAGTTTGGTCAAACTGAATAAACATTTGAAATAATTCACAATTTTGTTGTGCAGATCTTAACATGGAAAAAATAATAAATATATGATCTGTTTAAATTCATACTATGGAAAAATCTTTTAAAAGATTTTAATGGCCTATCTTTCAGTGTCAGAAAATGCATCCAAATGTTATAGGTATCTAAATATTGTTCAATAGATAAGGCTATTTATAAAATTTATACGAAGAGAATATTAGAACTAGCTAATGTTTTTTTAAGAGAATGTAATTTTGTACATTCCAGAAATAATTTTACTTTGTACATAGTCTTTTATAAGGCAAAAACATTTTTATAAGCTGAAGTAGCTCTTGCCTATATTATTCATTTATATAAATAACTTTCATTACTGGACATATGCATTAAATTTTTACACATTTTTCATTTCAAGATGTAACATCATATAATTATATATATGTAAGAAAAGGTCAATATTGATATATCCTTCATGTGTGGGATTTGAGGTGCCTGGATGTTTGGCAATCTGATGTCACATCATCTGTTGCTAGAAAAAGCTATAAGCACCACCTAGTTTCTTGGATGGCACCGACTCACGAACCAGGATGCCCTTTGTTTAATTCAGTTGTTGGCCAAGAAAGTTCCTAGGGTTTTTTCAGTCTTGATTTGTGCAAGAAAGTAAAGACTTTGAAATAATCAAACTATGTGTGAATTGATGTTACTGAAACCTCAACTGTTTCAATTATTGAATTAAGATCGTTTTAAATCGTTGAGCAAATTATTTTACCTTATTAAATAAGAAACTGGAAAAATTTGTTTCATATTTATACATACAAATAATCCATTTTAAAAAGCGTCTCCTACATTTTATTGGAGGTTGTTATTAAGTGACAGAGTGTTGGCTTTATTAGGTTGAATATGGTACATGTAGGAGCATAAAATTTTCCACAATTTCATCTTCATTGATTCTTTGATATATTGTACAGTAAATATTTTATATATGTATGCATTCCTATAGTTATTTTCATATATCAATTTATATACCGGTACATTAAAATTTGTAAGAAAAATTATTATTTGTTTAAGTATAAATCAAGACAAAAAGTAGAAATGGGGTTTTATCAATCTGGAATTAAGATATACATTTACGGATGTCCACAATGCAATATTCTTGGTGATGATTGTCATCCAGTCGACCTAATCGCACCTATTATGCAATGTTCTTGGTCATCCATTGTCACAGCTCCAGTCATACTCCATCTTTTCCTATCCCTAGTTACTAACATTAGGCCGACTAAAATTTCAGAAATGAAATATATTGTCTCCAACCTTTCAGAGAAATGGAATGGGGTTTAACATCGTACGGTTCTGTTCTGACTGGGCATGCTGTGTGCTTTGAGGGAAATTGCTCTGATAGCGGCACTACCGGCCTACTCTTGTATCGAATTCTAACTGTCAAGGGACCTTTTACGTGCATGCCAGTGTGTACACAAGACCTTTGTTTTTTGTCCCATCCGAACAACTAGAAATCAGGGGACTATTAAAATAAGTTCATCAATCAATAATTTAATATAGATGATTAGGGCTTGTCTTTAAAACTATCGAGTGGCTCCTATGTTGATAGGCAGTGGTACATCTAGGAACAGGTTAAAGATCTTTAATGTTCTGACCAAAGATACAGGAAAAGTCGTGTCTTCATTAGCTCAGTTGGGTAAACCCCATTTTTTTTCACAGCAAAATAATTCCCTTTTTCTGAACACCTTGTCCTTTATCTACTTCTGGGTAGTATTTAGGTAATAAAGACAGACCAATTCTCAACACACCCACAAATTTCAATTTGTAGTAGGAGTAAAAAGATAGGAGTTGTAGGTAGCAACTGTGGAACTACATTTTTAAAAACTTTCGAGATCAACAGTCCATTGATAACTATTTCTGAAAATTTTATGGAAATTGCAGTTAACTGAACTCTTTGGAGAGACAGTACAATAATAAATCACATTCATCAGGAGCAATAACTCTGGAACTACTTTTGCTAATTAATGCTCCAAATCTATCTGAACAATCTTTACACCAATATTTACTATACAAGAAAATAGGTAAAGAATTGAACTCTAGAGTGGGTATTGATATCAACAAACAATTTTTTTGCTGAAACACTCAAAATCAACAAGGGCCATCTTTACTCATGGAAATAAATGATGTTTGTATAAAGTTTTAAAAAGATTTCTCTGAACAGATAATGAAATATGCTCAAGAAATGAAATCGGGACAGAAAAATAAAATACTAGGTTGATGAATGTAAAAGTGTTATAAAGGTATCTTGAACAGTTTCTGAGATATGCTCTAGAATAATAATTATATACCAAAAAATAATTCAAATTTGTTGTAAAATTCATTCAACAGAGAATTTTTTTTCCATGGCAACGCAAAAATTATTAAATCCGACAAATTTCTAATTAGCAAAAGGCACAACTACTGTAATAGGATGATGTGTGTTCAAAGTTTCAAAAAGATATTTTTAACGATTTATGACAAATGCCCCAGAAACAAAATTGTGCATAAAAACTAAGTCAAATTTGTTTCCATGGAAACACAAAACTTATTAAATCCCAGAAATTCCAAATAAGCAAAAGGCACAACTAATATAATAGGTTAATGTTTGTAGAAAGTTTCATGAAGATTTCTTGAATGGTTTATGAGATATGCTCTGTAAACAAATTTGAACACCAAAAACTAAGTCAAAGTTGTTTCCTTGGAAACACGAAAAATATAAATCCCAGAAAATCCTAAATAGCAAAATGCACAACTGTCACAGACTGATGTTTGTACAAGTGCCAAGAAGATATCTTGAACGATTTATGAGATATGCTACGGAAACAAAATTATACACCAAAAACTAAGTCAAATTTGTTTCCATGGAAACACAAAAAATATAAATCCCAGAAATTCCTAAATAGGAAAAGGCACAACTACTGTAATAGGTTGATGTGTGTACAAAGTTTTAGAAAGATATCTTGAACGGTTTATGAGATATGCTCTGGAAAAAAAAATCGGGACGGACGGACCCAATTTCAATATCCCTCCCTAACCATGTTCGGCGCGGGATAACAAGGTACTAAGTCAAAGTTCCACATTGGGGCTAATGAAATATAAATAATGGATTAATTTCCAGTGTCACAATAGATATTAAAATTTCACTAACATAAACTTATTGTAAACAAGAAACATTTTTATTGAATAATGAAAAAATCTGATAATTTTCAAAGAAAGAAGACATACATTCTTTAACAAAGCAAAAATAGATATTAACCTCATGTAAACAAAATTATTTAGTTTTATGCATACACTTTGGTCAAAATTTCTTTACTTTCATACTGCAGTAAACATTATAAACTGAAAGCTAACATCATAAAAATAACAAAACTATATACAATTCTTCATTCATTCTAGCACATTTTTGACTCAAAATATTTCTAATAAAATCATTAACAAGACTAACCACGTACTAAATAATTCTGCCAGTATTTTTACTTTAACTGATGTCAGCTAATATGGTAATTGATTTGAATAATGTTTTTCTTGTGTCATGAAGACATTTGTCCGTATTTCTTATTCAGGCAAACACAACATACTCCCTTGCCAATACCTAAAAAAATTTGGCTTGAATCATATCAAGAAGTTGTTTAAAAGGCATATGGATCTATTCTTTGGAACCTTAAAATAGACAAAAATTGGTCTAAACCATGATATTAATGTAATATGAATGTATATAAAGTGATCTATATTTAATATTTTATTTCATTTCTAATTAATTATGTTCGCTGAAATAAATACTAGAACAGTCCAAATTGAACGACAGTCGTTTAAACTTGCTAAATTCATTCTACACATTTTGTGAATCAGCCATTACTAATTACTTCAGTTTTGTCTTGTAGGATATGTTTTTCTTTGTTCATTACAAATGGCATCTGAACCATAGAATACACGACTCGTGTAATGATTATAAATTGTTCATCATGTCTTAAATATCGGATATGAGGATCCCATATTTTCACAGCAAGATAATAACGTCAATATTGATTGAAATGGACCAATATTGAATTCTAATTCGTGTTTTTAATTTCAAATATTATGGAAGATATTGAGTTAAAGGTTTAGCTCCTTTAGAAGTTGAGTTTTAAGTGTGCTTATGTCAGCAGCCATTACCATTTGAGTTGTGTTATAAAGTAGGCCTACAATATCTCTACAAGTCATTGTGTCAAATTTGAACAGCTTTTAACATCCCGAAAAATAATTAACAGTATTAAAATGGTTGGGTCAGAGATGAAATTTATGTACACTTCAGCTGAAGACAAATTATGACAGGTTGCCAAGCAATAATAGATCCAAAAGCAACTAAGTTATCTGAGAAGTCTGTAAAGGCGGTCACACTTGTAAAATAACTGTGCCTGTAGAGTGTCCACAAGATCATCCAGCTTGTTCAAGGCTTTGTCTCGTAAACATAAGTATCATCTTAAATTTTTAAGCAAATTAGATACATGTAACTTTAGCCATTGTAAATGTAATCAAGAGCCAATACTGAGAATTGTTGCAAATTTGTAGGCTTCTTCATCTCATTAACATAAACATGGCTCATCATAAGTCCATCAACTTTAGCTTCTAGAGTGTGCAACAGTTGGAAAGGGATCACAATAATATACATGAAATATGTATTGTTTAATGGTAGAGAGCGAGACATTAAGTAATATATTGTAACAACAAGAGGACCGTCAGGTCCGAGTGTTTTTACAATATATTACGCAATGTCTCAGCTCGAGACCATTAAACATCTTAAAATACAGACACCCCGCACGTGCGTTTAAAGTGAAATACGTCACTCGAGTCTAATATTTGACTAGGTACGATTGGCAAGTTGCCCGTACGATTATTTGAAATAATGGTACGCCAACATCAAAGGGTGACGTCACATCTGTATTTTAAGGGTATATAAAAAGTAGAAAACAGGTTTGGTCAGATGAATAGTAGGGGAAACAATCTACAAAAATTTTAATACAAAAGAAAATTAGGTTTGTCAAAAGGTTATGTTCCAAATTCAAACAATTTTACAAGTTTTATACACAATAATATCCTTTATATCAATGGCCATTCATTAGTCTTGATAATAATAAGGTCATGTATTGCCCTCTTATTATGTTTATGTTTCTGTGTACAGTTATTATGAAATACAGTGGACTCTGTCGCTTCCAACATCTGAATACTACTGCATTCTGTGAAATCCGTCATCATTTTCATGTCCAGATTTATTTCCTTATTACTTCAACCAAAAAAGTTTTGAGTAGTCCATATTCTGAATATTCCGAATAACGACATCAATCAGCGGTCCAGTCACACGATTTGCATTGAATTAACAATGGATAATCCGGCCCTAAATCAGTGGGTGTTAACTGACAAGCAATCACCAATCATTTATTGGTGAGCTTAAGACACTGTCCATCTTTGTTAATAACCTTGATAATTTTATAATCTCTAGTAAGAGAGCACTTGGTAGATGAAGAATCACTATCATTATAATATTGTGTTCAGAATGTCTGTTCGTCCTGCAAAGCGTGCATGTACAAATTTGACATTAGATGTCAAGCAGCAAATGATAGCAGATTTTGAGAAAGTTATAGGACCTACACAGAAGGAATTAGCCATTAAGTATTCAATAGATGGTTTCATGCCAATCTGATTAAAATACAGATCTATATATCTTTTCGTTTTTTTATACTTTCTATGGCCTCTACTACATGAAGATCTGACCAGTTGTAGTGTAGGTCGTGTGAGAGGTCATACAAGCAGCTTTTGACCCTATGACGTTAGACATTTGATTAACCAATCAGTGCTGATGTTTCTAGTGGGTTACCCACAGTTCCATAAAACTTGCGCCAAAAACTCGCCATAATAAACCGTTTCATTGGCTAATCCCTCACATCAATAGGAACGCAGGTTATATAACAACTCTTTCAGATCCTAGTTTAGTAAAAACAACTGAAACAAAATTTTGAACTATAAAAAACGATAGAAATATGGCATCTTTCGGTAACTATGTAGGCCTTGCACCAGACAATACAAATTACTTTTTGAAAGCAAAAAAAAACCTCTTAAAAAACGCTAAAAAATATAAGGAACCATATTATAATAGGCAGGTGCTTTCATATTGTTGCCGCTGGTAATCAATTTTTTCATTAGCTGAAACATGTTTTATGTGGACCACTTCGTACTTCAATACTCAGCGCTTCAGCAACTAACTTGTCACTCTTGATCAATATGAATACCGTGGTATAAGAAACAGTAAGAAAGGATTTTACTCGAACTCTAAATTTGAAAACATCAACAGAATGACGCACGAGTGGTTTGTACATGTACAAAGTAAAAACGTAATAATTTTAAGGAATAAAATTTTGAATGTACAGAATGGTTTATCATATTTTATGTTATGGGTATTCGAAGGTGTATTGGAATAATACTTCTGATATATGAGGTACAATAATACTTCTGGTATTGAGACAATTGAGTATTCTGTCATGCTGTATAATCTGGCATATTGTATCGATCCCGTACTATGTCGGAAGTGACAGAGTCCACTGTAGGATGATAATATGCTTATGATCATTCATCTCAACACTGTCGGTTCCAATTTTTAAACAACTTATAAACTTTCAAAAATTGGATTAATTCCATATTTTATTTTAGAAACACAATTTTAAATACCATATTTTCTCAATTAAAATACATAGTATTTGGTTTTTACTGAAAATTATAAATGTTCAGTCAGGACTTATTACATCATTTTTACTACCACTGCGATTTGGTTGTCGCTGGAGGTTGTGACTTTCACTGGAAGGCCATTAATATTCATGCATGCCCACACAAAATCTGTTGAAACAAATGCTGAAATTGTTTGATCCCAATATTCACACATGATCCCACAAACTTCTTTACGAGATTCAAATACCGTATTTACCCTGTTGTAATTGAAATCGTTGAAATTGTAACTGGTTAGGATTAGGTTGAGCTAGTATAAGTTGATTGCGTTGTAAAATGGCTGCCTGTTGGTTGTTTAGTTGTTGTTGTTGTTGTTGTGGTTGTAAGACAGGGTATATAATAGAATTGTTTGGTAGTAGAGTAGCAGCAGGTAATACTGTATTAGACTGTATACTCATACACTGGGTAGCTTGTAATCTCATCTGTTTACAAAAATATAAAATATCATTAATTTTTGATAGAGTGGATGCCTTAAAAGAGAGCGAGAGAAATGGGGTTTAACATCCACTTGACACAAACTAGGTTCATTCGGAAATAAAATGTGGTACAATTTTATTTCAATAACTAGCTTGAATGTAGGGGTCTTTAGCCATGGGAGGGAACCTGAAGAAAACCCACAAGTTTGAACAGGCAAATCTATTCCTGGTCACACACAAGCTCTGGATCTAAGCCCCCCACCTTAAAGGCTCAATACCACTCTTGTTGTAACTGAATAATATGTCACAATCTTTATTCTGGTCAACAACTTGTACTATTTTACAATATTCTAATTAATTGGTGATATAAATTTCATCTTAACACACCTAATTTAAAAAATTGGAAAAATTCAACTAAATGACTTGAAAAGCCTGACGTAAAGCTTTTCAAATGTGACTTGGATTTAAAAATATTTTTTAACCATCTGGACAAGTAAAATAGGATTTAATGGATAATTTACACTAACACATCTAGTACTTAGAATAAGGCTATTTTTTTATTTTCTGGAGCTGTCAAGTCAGCAAGAGGGTTATTGTCCCTTTAAAAGAAGACCTATCAACAATTGCATAAATTTCGACATACATTTCGAACCTATAACAAAATAATATATGATTTTTTTATCGATTTATGTAACCCTTATTACGAAGAGAGCGATGAATTTTGCACAGATCAATATATTGAATTAAAATGATTTGGGCTATTTATTCACATTTTGGCATTAAATCTGAAGTTCTCTCTACCACATAAAATAATAAAGGTGTGTATAAAGAAACAGTACCTGTGGATGTTGATTAGGATTAGATATTAACATATTATTATTCTGTTGTTGAAACTGTTGTATTGTATTATTATTAAGATGACTGGTTTCACTTTGACGTAATAAAACTTTCTCTAAGTTATCTCGAGCACGATTTCTCCAAACTGGGTGTACGTCCTAAAAAATATAACCGATAGTTAACAGAAACCATTAAACTGAAAATGAATATTAGGAAGGAATTATGGTTGTGAGGTATATTTTAAAATGGGATTTTCTCTTTGATTTAGTTTAAAAACATGCTTATATTCAGTGAGTTGGCAGTGTGACCGGTTCAAAATTGATCACATGTTCAACAGTCAACAGTTTTAATGTGATTATTTGGCAGAAAGTGTCAGAGAAAGAAAGGTTTCAGTAAGTTTTCAGTAACTAATGACAATCATGGTTAATCAAGATGTATTATTTATTCTTACCCCATTAGATTCTACAGGTGGTGCTAAATTAAATGTTCTCTGTACCTAGAAAATATATTTAATGTTTAGCAAAATGATTCCATACAAAGTAAATTCAGTGTAGTAAGTTAAATATTTGAATCTTTTGACATATTAATGAAAAAATAGATCTTACTTATACATGCATTATGCAAGAGCAAAATCTGCTTATTACAAGTCTTTCTTTAGGCCTGAAATGTTATCTAAATTATCAATTATTAGACATTAATTAACTTATCCAGACCATAATAAACTCTCGATGTCAAGGCTAGCCTTCGATGTTGGCTGGATTAGATTCCTATATGCCGATAATGGCCGTTGATAATTAAATTAAAAAAAGTGGATAATTGAGACTTGCTGTTTATATTAATGATTTTAGTAATGATGACCGAGACTATGCCAAAATTTCACGAGCTTCTTTCTCGGCTCATGGTGGATCAATTTGACTGAAATTTTCAGCAAATTACCTTTACACTATCTTGTTTTTAACTATTATAGCGAAAACTGCCATCTCGTTATCTTATCTCCCATAATGTATCTTTAAGCAATATTTTGGGGTTTTTTAGTACCAAATAAAAACTGTAATATACCCCCCCCCCCATCCCCACCATTTACAAATTGTACCTGTACTGATTCTGCTTGACTATCTATCCATTCAGACGTCTTTGTTTGTAATATTGAACTGTTTGATTGGATGGTTTTGTTGCTAGGTGTAACAGTAGAAGGTGTAGATTGTACCGAGACCTGTGGTTGGCTACTAGATTTAACAGGTTCTTGTTGCTGACTGGCTGCATTTTGAGCTTGCATACATGTGGTCATATGTTCTGGCCAATGTGATTGTTGACAGGTATAGGCACAATAACTGGTATTCCAACAACAATAATATATAGCTTCTTTACCACACTTCGCACACTGCAAATAGATAAAAATAAGTTGGGAGAGGATTATTGGTAAAAAAAACAACCCAAAAACTATGTAATACCCTTTCTGACAAATTGGTGAAATTGGGTAAAATTCAACCATTGTTTAGGAAATGACCCTATGTAGAAAATGACTTTATAACACAAAATACTAGTAGGAGAGATGAGGGCCGAAAGTATCAATATTATGCATGAAAAGGGACATGAGAGTCATTGTAGAAACACATAGCTCTGGTTAAAATTCATTAATTGTTTTCCAGAGAACTATGGAGTTCATTTGTAATGTGTTCAATTACTAAATATTGCTTAAACAGTAGATAAATACACCTTGCCGTCAAAGATGTTTTAAGATTCTATGCCATAATCAAGGGCAATAACATGTAATTATCAGAAATTGTTGCAATTGTTATGCCTTGCCATAATCGGTTTAAAATAAATTGTATGATGACTTCAGCTGCTAAGCCATTCTAAAAATTCCAAAGCTTTTTTTTGATTTCTAAATGTTATCACTGGACCACAAAAGGCCTCAAAATAACGTATAGAATGATCATATAAAGGAGCTACTATGCCCTTTATACTACCTCCTGGGAGACCTTACCCATTGTTTTTTCTTGGCTTCTTCTACAGCTAGTTTCTTATCAGCTTCAAACTTTTTGTTTAACTCTAATTGAGTTCGAACTATATCAGACTCCCATCCAGAACGAGCTTCCATTAAGTTTAGTTCTATAAAATAAGGTATTTGTTATAATTGTTAATCTCAAAAATGCCATACTAAACATTTCTCAGTCTACTAAAATCTGTCCCATATATATTCTAGAGAATCAAACGGATAAATTCTAAGTGGAAGACTTTTAGAATCAATTATCTGAATGTCTGTAGTACTTTTTCGCAAAAATACAAACTTTCCATTTCCTAATGTAGTTGGCAATAAGTCCCCAAATTCCATCCTATCCCCAAGAGACTTGATAGCCATGTCTACATATTTCCTTATGTTATTATGTGTGGTGATTATCACATACAGCAAATTATATGGAATTCCTTTAGTGTGTTATGTAAAGCAAATTTAGCGATCACTTACAAACGGCTCAGTATTTTGAGCTAAAAATACAGCATTAACTATCTTTAATTATCATTTGTTACCCAGCGTAATCTGTGAATGCTGCCTTAACTTAATACAGATTTTTCATCATACGGATATTTCATTCCACTTTATTTTTCAGTCTTTTTCAGAAACATATGTTATGTGATTGGTCAAAGCCAAATTAATGGAATAATCAAAACCCTTGATACAGAAATAATAGATTGAAATGGAGCCAACAACCCTGTTGAAATAATATAGAGCTTACTAAAGCTATGTTTTAATTCTTCTATTTGTTGTTGATGTGCCCACTTTATAACTTCAAACTTCTCTTTTTCTTCAGCTTCTTCTTCTTCATTACGTTCATTACGTAAAGGACCCTTACACTAAAACACAAAATTGAAATGAATTTTCTTTTAAATATGAGGTTTGAGAGGGGGAGGGGGGGAATAGCTAATGTAAATTTTTTGTTCATTTTGTAAAACAATGCTGGTTTTGATAATGTTCAGGACATCATTATTCCATTGAGGGCATTTCAATACCCAGCCCATATAATCCCAGTGACAACCATTGCATTTCTCATGTCAAATAGCCATAAATATGGAGAAAATTTGACAGAGTTGAAAGTTTACAGGAATATAAATTTACATATTCATTTCATGCATTGTTGACATTTATTCATACTAACTTATTAATTCATGTTAAACTGAAAGGGATCAAGATATGCTTTAATTCCTGATTGAACTTTTATACATCGGTATTTGATTCATGAAGGTTGAAATACTTTGTTGCTGAATGACAGTCATTTTGAATCTAAAAATCCACATCAGCAGACGGATTCACAGATTTATGAATCTGGATTTGAGAATCATTCAGAAACAAAAAGAATGGATTCTTTCTTTGCAAGCAATTAAACACACCATCAATAGTTCTAATGCAAGAAAACAGAAAACAGAACTCACACAAAATATAATGCACAAAGAACCAACACTAAATAAAAACAAATCAAATCAAAGTAGTTTTTAACTTAGTGAAAATACCAGGACCATATCCAAAGCCACCAAACATCAGCTCAGTCACAAAAATCATCAGGTGTTCAGGAAAGCATTAGCATAGGCCCTGCTTGATTTATCTGCCGATGGGTAACGGGTTTGCAAACGGCGTAAGCCGGTCAAGTGATATTAGCCTCTCCCGCCAAAGCGACGCATTCGGTATACATCGCAGCCGAACTTTTGTCAAACTGTGGTCAGTCGGTATGCACCGCTATGGACAAATGAAGCAGGGAGAGGCGAATATCACTTGACCGGCGTACGCCTTTTGCAAACCGGCTCACCTATCGCAGAGAAATCAAGCAGACCCAATTGCTACCTCCTGTACCACATCCATCACTACTTGTAGCAAAGGTTCAATAGAAAGTATCACAATAATTATTTATTATACTAATATAGATAAATATACCGGTGATAAACTTACATAATTTTTTTTAGTAACTGAAACAAGATCTTTACAAAGGGAGGTAATTGTTTCTTCTATAGAACTTGACAACTATAACAAAATAAAAGGACATATATACTATTCAAAAAAAGTAGGGGATATTTGATTTTTAAGTGTTATTAAAGTCACCTAATGAAACTGACGAAGAAACAAATGACAAAATGAAATGAAGTTCACATTCATCGATTTATTCCAAATGATCGTTAGACTAAGTAAGGCACAGACTGACCATTATAAGGGTAAAATGATACCCGGGGTCAAACAGCAAAGTTACCACAGCATCACAACCAAGTCAGTAACGGGTAAATCCTCCTCTGTTTGCCAAACAAGCATTGATCCGACGTGGCATACTCCTAATGAGACGTCTAAGGTCATTTTGGTCCAGATTGTCCCATTCCTGTTGCAACGCAGCAGCAAGTTCTTGGACATTGGCAGAACGTTGTTGACGTTGACGTAACCTCTGTCCAAGCATGTCCCAGACATGCTCGATGGGGGAGAGGTCGGGACTCAGTGCTGGCCAAGGTAATGTGGTGATGTTCTGTTGTTGGAGGTAACCTGTAACGATCCTGGCCCTGTGACATCTTGCGTTGTCATCCTGGAAGATGAAACGGCGGCCATGACGTCGTGCGAACGGCACAACATGGACTGCCAAGATGTTGTCCCGGTAGTACTGGCCTGTAACACGCCCTGCAACAACATGTAAAGCCGTTCTTCCAGCAACAGTGATGCCTCCCCACACCATAACATAACCACCCCCAAATCGATCATGTCTGATGACGTTAACGTCTTGGAAGCGCTCGTTTCGACGACGCCACACCCTCCTACGTCTGTCCAAAAAATCAACAGTGAACCTTGACTCATCTGAAAACATCACATTGCTCCAGCGTTGATTATCCCAGTGTTGACGATCCCTACACCAACGACGTCTTGCTTGAATGTGATGATCTCTCAAACAAGGGATCACGCAAGGACGTCGGGCGCGAAGGTGACCCCTATGCAGTCGATTCCGAATCGTCTGGCCACTCACTCTCACACCAGTGTCTGTTTGAAGACGAGCGCTGATCTGATTTGCTGTGATGACACGATTTCTCAAGGCCAAGGTACGGATAAATCGATCCTGGGCTTGAGTTGTCGCCCTTGGTCGACCTGAGCGTGGTCTGTCCTGTACAGATTGTGTATCACGGTATCTGGACCATAGCCTGCTTATGACAGACTGAGAAACATTCATCGTCCGCGCCACAACCGCCTGTGTTGTGCCGATCTGTAGCATGCCAAGGGCACGTAACCTTTCATTTTGGGTAAGCCGACGCATATCAAAATTTGTTTTCTGGTCACTAAAACAATTAAACTGATGTTTCCACCCTGGAATTCAATGCCACAATGACTGTAACATTCAAAGTCAGAGTCGTGCAAATCTTGGGTTGGACCCCCATGATGATCCCAAGCATCACCTGCATTCCATGCGGTAGCTATTGGTGCGTTTGGGCGTCACATGTAACTGGAAATGTTTCTTCTGTTAGGTTCTATAGTGACTTTTTTCGTAGTCATTTGCATATTTTAGTATTATGCCCCCAAAATCAAATATCCCCTACTTTTTTTGAATAGTATATTATACATACAATAATATACAATTGGAATTGATAAAAATACAAAAGAATTTGTCAGCTTTGAATATTTGGAATACATTTAGTGTTTGCAGTGTGGATTTTAGCTCATTTGATACAATCTGCTGAGTTGAGATCAGAATCCTGAAAATATGTTTCAAGCTAATCCTAGTGTAGTTTTACCAAATGCATCAAAATACTTTTATCACAAATAGCCCAAACTTGGTAGGGGAGGACAGGTTGGTCCTGCATGTCTGTGAGTTTAATGCCATGATCAATTGGGTCACTTGTCTAAACTTCTTGGAATGTTATCATGGTTCTACATCTCTCTGCCCCGTCCCAAAAACTGTTGAACAACACTCTTGAAAATTAGTGTACTTGAAGACAATGAAGTATCCATGATTCAGGTGATAATCAACCAATATTACCTTTTTAGTATAAGACTGTATGATATCGGTTATATTATTAGGTAATTTTTCATTATCTGGAGTCTCTGTCTCTAATGTCATTTCTGTATCCTGAGGTGGCGGAGAGTTTGATACTCTAAAAATGAAAAATAATAGTAGTTCGGTAATTAACTTAAGATGCATTATGTATGAGCTAAATTTGCCTAAGGCAGGTCTTTATTTTGGCTTCAAATTTTATATAAATTATAATTTAAACATTTATTAACATAAGAGTCTATAATCAACTCTAATGGCCAAGAATTAAATGGATTTAAACAACCGCGAGATTTAAAAATTTAACGATAACATGAACATTCAAGGCCAAGTCTTGGTTGTCAAGTACCATTGATACGATAATGAAGGATCTACGCTATATCTTCAAACAGTCATGACTATTGAAATTTTCAATATATCGTGGGTCTCCGCTTGAAACCTTGTATAACCGATTTTTGGCCAAAAACACTTTTTGATACCATTGTAAAGCTCGTAAAAGCGCGCTTCTGAATATCAAAACCTCGTTTAGCTACGACAGTTTTAAATGTCTGAAAATGTCTAAATAAATATCACGTATAAAATGGCATACAATCAAAACCGCGTATAATAATATACGTGGTTTTGAATTGCAAATGTTATCAACTGTAATATATAAACCTCGTATAAACCGACATACGAGGTTTTCATACTACAGATTCCTGTCACGTGGCATCTATTTACTATAATACGAGGTCATTTTAGCCAAGTAAGACATCGACGTATCACGATAAAACATAAGTTTCGTTTAAACATTACTAGAATTATGAAAGTTACATTGTTTTTGTGCCATTCAGTATCACACTGTTAAATTCTGGCATAGAAAAATAAGTAAATTTAATGTGTAATGTTCGTGTATTACTGAATGTGTCACTATGACTAAATGTCACATGGTCTAGATTTTACACGTGGTCCAGATTTTACATTAGACCAGTAATTCTCAATCAGTGTGCCGCTAAATCTTCCAAAGTGTGCCGCGAAATTTTGAACGGCACACCAAGAAAATTTCTCACTAAAGAAACTAGCTATTTGACTGATGAAATTCGAAACACTGCAATATAGTAAGCTCATAGCCGTGTTTTTCTTTATTTAGTTCGAGTCATTCAATGTGTCTATGACTAGTTTGTGCCTACGGTTGTATGCCGTCTGTGACTTGACATGTTTTTATTTTGCAAAATTCAAATTCTTTTTACATATATTTAGCCAGGTGTGTCGCTATTTTCTCATGTGTTCTAAGGTGTGCCGTTGGCAAAAAAAGGTTGAGAACCACTGCATTAGACAAAGCCTGTAAGTCTACAAATACAAACAATAGCTACGCTGTTTTCTTACGCCGTACCAAAAGATGTCATAATAATAGAAAAATGGCCCAATTAAACGCCTTTGTTCTTGCTTTTACAATGGAGAGAATCGCCATGGACATCCCTGGACCTTTGCCGCTCACCAATATAGGTAATCGATATATTATAGTAATCAGCGACTGCTTTACCGAATCGACAGAAGCTTCAGCTCTACCCATCCCTAAAAGCCCAGCTCAGGCATGGGCCTTAGGTACCCAGGTTCATGGCAAAAAGAGAACAAATTCAAATTGCAGATGAAAGTTTCACGGTAATCTATCTAGCGGTGCGAGGGTGGAGACTGAGCTATCCCTCAACCTTCTCTGTGAAGTTCCACTCGGTGATCGGTCTAGGTTTCCCCGCCGTTATTTGCCATTTCCGCGAATTGTATGCCATTCGAAACTGAACAGATTTCGTTTGTGATCAGCTATTATGTAATTATTTTTCTATTACAGACCGTTTAATCGTGTGTTGCGCATGTGTGCCATTAAAAAGGATATGAAATAATCTTTTAGTCGCCCCGCAATTCTTGTCAGGCCCAGTGACACAGGATCTTTCCAAATGAATTCGGAGCTGCATTGAAAGTACCGAACTCAAAGGAAGAATTAATGGAGGATGGGAGCAATAGCCTATTATAGAGAAACTGTAAGGACATAGTATACGTGGATGATGGCTGTTTGATTATAAGATGACCTATGCCCGAATAGTTACGTTCTTAGATACACATGATGGCATTATTGATAACGTTTTATAGTCCGCAAAACTTAAGGTTTTCACATTATTATACATTTTAGGCTTTCCAAGATGTCTAAATTGAATTGCGGGATTGGGTCTTGCCTTGAGTCGTTGTAATGAAGAAACAACTAAAGAACCACTTGGCTGCGACTCCCCATAAACGAATGAAGGTTGTGTGTTTATTCTGTCGAGACTTCCGATCCTTCAGTTGTATAACGCCATCACCCCCCCCCCCCCCCAAGTCTACAAACGAGTTGCCATGGTACCAAAGTGGGCTTCACCACTATTCCAGCTTACAAGACAGATGATGCTGGACTGGATCCGTAAGTTTTCAGATCCTTTCCGGTCAGAAGAAGAATGGACAGAAGAATGGAGAACCTTCAAAGGTGACCGCGAGAGTGTCAGTGATGTGTTGCCTATCTGTGCCGAAGGGGAGATAACGCCAACTCCTTCACTGGAGAAGTATTATCCTCATCAACCATCGTTCAACCTTGCCGATCTGGTTACTCCTACAGATATCACTATTAGAAGGATGGCAGAGTTGCGCTGTTCGCGACTGATGAAGATAACGTGTGTTACAGGGTCACCCTAAAGAAAACCACCGTACAAGACCCTCGGACCTTGGGTTCTTTAACCCGAAAGTTAACTCTTCTACCAAACTCCAACAACCTGAGACCGCCTGGTGTTGGCATCGGCCTTAAAGGATCCCATTTGGAAATGAGGAAGTTTAACTTGACCGAATTTCTTGGAGTATCTTCTGACTCGCAAGACAGGAGAATGGTATGGAACAAATCTTTTGTCTGCACCCGTAAGCTGAAGACCACAGTATCTCTTCAAGATGTCTCAAGGGTTACCGTAGAGATGGAAGCCGCCCGACAACCTGTATTGCTAGATACTCCACCAATTTCTCCCCTAAATAATCCGATCAAGAGAAGCCTCAGTCCGGCACCAGTTTCTGCTCAGAAGCGACCATGTCCAGAAAGAACACAAGCACAGGAAGCAGCAGGCCTTCCTAGTCGTGGACGCATGCCACTATTGCCACCAGCCAGACGCGATTGGAAAGACAGTCGGGTTCCTCCAGTCGCAATTGGACGAAAGACCCTGGTATGGCCGCACATAGACTTTCAGAAGATGGAGCTGGAATATGCAACCATAACTTTGGAAGAAGGATTTCAGTCTAGGACATCAGTAATATCCTGCCAGCACCTCCTAGACAACATGCTGACACTACTGGGTACCCCTATACCACCTCCAGGAAAGGGCGTCCAACACAATGCCTGTAAGTCATGAGTATGAGTACCCGAGCCTTGGACACGGATGCGACTCGAAGCTCCTGAGGTATATAATGGTAACTAGCAACATGGGTAGCATGGTATTGGTATGATTTGGTATCTCTATATAGCATGAATCTGGTTGGTATTGGTGTGGCGATGCCACAGTATGATGATGGAAAGAATGATCCTGCCCTGCCACAGTTGACGTTACAGATCCCGAGTATCTGATGTTTTAGGTGGCGGTGGGGGTCCCATACGAATGACTAGATGTTGTTCCTTGCCAGACCCTCTCCGACCTGCACAGCTGACAGCTGGAAAATCCCGAGGAACTGTCTAGGTCAACACCGGGATCGAATCCGGTACGCAATGGTTTGCAAACCAGTGCATTACTCACTGAGCCAGTGCGGATCCCAGTGCCATACTCATATTAGCCCTTTGGCATTGTATCGGGAACTGTACTTTTCAGTTTTCCAAAATTACGACCCATCTGAAAATTCTCGTTATTACAAAATTAAATAATTGTCATATGAAATATATCAGACACATGAAATTATTATATTATTCCATTTTTATAAAATTTCGAAAGCTCAAAACTAATTATTTTAATATTGTTTTATTAAACTTGTATTTAAACTTTCGTTGATCAAAAAACACGTACCCGAAGAATTGGTCATCTTTCTAGAATCAAAAACACGTATATAACATTTTTCGATTATATTTTAGAATAAATAAATATTTTCACTTAAAAATGTTCATGAATCAAAACGTACACATATTTTCACCAAATTGATACCTGATGTTATTAAGAAAAATGCGGCAGTATTATGTAAAACAGATTTTATCTGTTAACTCCTTTACTAATTTTCCGCATTTTTTTGTTATACGAGGTTTCAAGCGGAGACCCGCGATATTCATTATTCATTATCTATTTTTGAACTATTATAACAAGGACGTCCAACTCTTTATCTATGAGAGAAATTTTGCTTGGACAGCGGTACTACGACCTACTCTTATATCAAATTCCTACTGCCAAGGGTTTTTTAACACGCACACCAATGTGCACACAGGACCTCTGTTTTTTGTACCATTCGAAGGACTATATGCTGTCCCTTTGCTGAGCCACCTTAGCTTCAATGGGTGGACAAGAAAAGTTGTCTTTGCCAAAAGTTGCTGCATGTCTAGCCGAAGAAAATCACAGGGATGATGACCGTATGGTCCTGCAAGAAATGTGGGCATATAAATACAACGAATAAAGATACTTACATTTGTCTAGCAAGAGATTTCATTGTTTTAGAAGCTGATAACATAGACACACCACAACTCTGTTTAGTTAATACTGATACTTGACTACCATTATTACTAGCTATGACATTACTCTCGGATTGCTTTGCTTGAACTGTTTCTGATTTTGAATTTGAGCAAATATTTTCACTGTTTGTCCCTGGTTGAACAGAAGCTATCTGTTCAGTTTGTGCTGGTAAAGGTTGGTTAGTGTCAGTTCTCACAGGAGGGGATTTATTAGGTTTCACTGTTGGAGGCACAGAATCTAAATCTGGTTTCAAATCAATAATCAGTCTATGTTTTTCATTATCGTCTTTAGAATCGACTTCCATTTCTTCAATTTTTTTTGTTGTATTAATAGCACTTTTGGCCCCCAAAATGTCTGGGGCATGAACTTTGACCTTGTTTTCTGAAAGGTCAAAGGCACTGACCTTGTTTTCTGAGGTTTCATGGATATGACTTTTGACCTTGTTATCTGATTTTTCAGGAGTATGACCTTTGACTTGGTTTTCAGACTGCCCAGGGGTTGAAATATAATTAGAGTCAACACTATCATTAAAACATGTAGTGTTTTTCTCTGGAAGATTAACACTAAAACTTTCACTGATGTCTTTGACCTGTGAAGGACTTGAATGAGGCAGAGAATTGGTCCCTTCAACACAATTAGCCTTGACCTCTGTAGGATGGAGAATAGTCCTGACATCATTATTCTCTGAATTTGTTTTAATTTGATTGTTTATTTTCAATTGCTCGTGAACTTTTGGAACTTCAACATCAACATTTTCCTTTTTATCTGATAATGTCTGTGGTCCAAGCTTCCAATCCACTGGTTGAGTAATTTTAATATCAGAAATTTCACTTGTCCTTGCAGACACTTGTGGTTCTGATGTCTGATAATTTGTATTATTGTCCACTTTTGTGCTGATAGCAGCCTGAATAATTTGTAAAGCTGATTCCCCAAGCGATTCATTAAGGTCCGCCTGCTTTAGAATTGTGTCACTTTCATAATCATCTTCACTTCCTTTCACATTATTTGATGATGCGACAACTTTCACATTTTGAATTTGTGAAAAATCCCTTCTGTTTAATGTCACTTCACATTCGGTCTGGTCGATAAAAGTTCTTATAACTTTTGGACTACCAGTCTTTTTTGTATTATACCTGTTAAGTAAGCCGGTAACACCTTTTTTAGATTTTTTCATGCCCAGTTTTTTAACAGGAGTAGATGTCATCATCTTTTTCTTCTTTACAACAGGATTTTTACCATTACCAAATGGTGTTCGGGGTGGCATATAGTCATATGAACCAAATTTTATCCTGGAAATAACAGAATCAGAATAAAAAAAATTTGCCATACATAAAGTCAAAACCAGCTCACATTAAGGCATATATATCACTGATTTTTGTCACCAATGAACAATCATTGGTCTGCAGTGAATAATACAGCAGACAGATTGTCTCGGATGTTTCGTTAGTTAGAGGTGCGTGACTGGCTGGATACCACTATATTTTGTATAAACCAATCATTGCACGATATACCAATGTGTGACTAGATGTGTGTGTGGCATAATAAACCATTCATTAATCATAGCAAAAAAGTCAGTTATATGTCAGAGAAAGATATGTACTAATTTCAATCAATATTAACAAGCAATTTGATCGTATTCTGTCAAAATCATTATCATATGACTCACATTGACATTCTTTAAAATGGAACATAGTAGTAATGGCTAAACTAAACAACATTACTCAAGTTTTTGATTTTTGTCATAGATGAAAGTAAAAAGACTACTGAGATTTGCCCATCTGTCCAAGATTAGCCAATAATCTGACAATCATATACACAAATTATTGTCTGACATTTACCAATCACATGCAGATCATGAATCAGGCACAAAATATTTATCTGACAAATATGCACCAGCACAACCTGTTGAGGAGGGATGTAATTGAGATCAAATATACTGACATGTGCAAATGCTAACTTAAGTGTTCTATAAAATGGTTGAAGCTGTCATTATTTAGGGCGAAGTATTTAGAAATATATATAAAAATAATTTTTTATTACACGAAAGATTTAAAGGGCCAATCTTGATTATATCTTGAAGAATAAAACTGCTTAATTTTGTGTTGAAAGCCCTTAAAATCCTCTACCTTAGGGCCAAGCAACTAACTCAACATGCATGATACATTTTCAAACAACTTCAACACGCCAGTCTTCATCTGTCCCAAGCTGTATTATACGGTGTCTGGATAACACCAGACTTTTATTTTATAAAAATAGCATGTAGGTGAAATTTACCTTTCGTTATCAAGTACAGCACGTGGGTCGTGCACTGTATACACATTTAAAGGAATGGCAATAGATTATCAGGTCACCCAATGAAAATATTGACCCAAAAACATAAAAGAGTCATGTGTCCGGATAAGCGGTTTTGACGTTCACATCCAAGCGACTCAATATTTTGAGCTGAAACTTTGAGACAAGGCAAATATACCATTCCTCTATATTTTGGCGATTAAATTTCACAAATACACAGACTTTTATTGATGAGACTCTGTTAAAATCAGGATGGTCCCTTTAAATAAAGTATGCTATATTTCCACTCATTTTCCTTAGTTTATCGACCTTTCTGCTGAAGTTACATGTTAGCATTTACAGTTGTTAGCTTAAGATTTAAAATTTACCTGATTTTCTGAATGTGTCGTTCTAGTTCTTCCATAGCTTCATTAAAGTGAGTGCTTCTTTTTTTCTGACCATTCGGACAATCTTTAGACAATAGAAATACATTACTTACTGGAACCCAAGATCTGGTAAAAAAAAACAGAACAAAGTTGTAAATCAGGAGCAAACAAAAATTTTATATTATTAGAGATTTCTTATAATCAGCTGTAGAATTTCTTAGGGTAGGCATTAACTGTATTTGAGTAAAGAGTTATATATGAAACTGATTTGTGTGAATGGAGTTAAACAAAACACAGAGTGCATGCATGTAGTTTTGATTACTTCTGCCCCAAATGTCATCACTTCTAACACAATCACTGATCTGGACAAATAAAGAGTCAATTGTAAATACTGTAACTGACCGTCTGGGTGTTTGCATATACAGTTCATACAATGCCTTAAGGGAAATTGTGTTGCAATTTAACAATTAACAATGCGCTCTGCACAATTCCATGGTGAGGTGAATTTCATTGGATTCTCTTAACCAATCGTGACATGGGAGTATCTTAGGAACAAAATTTTTTTATATGGTCTTCAGATTTACATTTTACCAATTCTAATTGGTACTTTATTAAACCTATTCATCAAATAGATAAAACTAACAACTATGGTAAGTGTTTATGATTTGTCTATTGAATAATAGTACCGCAAAAGTATTTGTTCATTGTTTTTCAAAACAGCAATATTAGTGCAGTTATAGTTCAAATGCAGACATAGCTAATGACAGAATGCAATCAATGAATCAACCATGTTCAAGAGTTGATTGACGACTGTACAAGTAGCTGTATATGCATTTGCTTTCAATCAGAAAATATAATTATTGTTTGATTTCACCGATTTTAATAAATAGGGGAGATTACTTCAATTACCATGAAAGACAAAAACCAACCTGTCATGAGCCCCAAAAAATCGGACATCCACCAATCCATCATTTTCTCGCAAAGCCTGGAAATATATGATTTTTATGATTATCTCTGCAATGTCATTTATAGCTTCAAAACATAGAATGCTATAATAGAAAATATCAAGTTCTAAAGCTATCCAACATCATTAGTACATCAGACATTCCAGATATCTGTACTGTATTATGAGTTTGATGTAAGATCATCGAGAGGACGGATCTAAAGAAGACGGCTAAGAGCTAACTTTCCAGACACCACATTTGTGTTCGCCAACCGATGGACCGAATTGACCATCAAATCTGTAAGAGGTTAATATTAATGATAATAAAATCAGCATGACTTTGAACTTCAAACCTCACATCAGGGCTTAAAACTTGGACTTCCTGGAAATCGAGTGTCAAAAAACTTAAATACTGTAGTTAAACAAACCTGCATTTCAGGAATCACATATAATAATTTATATACATTGTGAACTTACCTTAGCCGGCCAGAATGGAAAACCTTTTAACTTAGCCCATGTAAGCGTATGAGGTGTTCTCTGAAAACAAAAGTACATATTAAATAATCAAATCAATATTAAATGTTCTTGTATGGTTTGTTCCGTCTGTGTTTTGTTGTGTAGTTCTGCTGCATGTAGGAAACAAATTTACATGGAAGGATGGATTTTGGTTTAATGTCCGCAACAGAGTCCATTTCTTGATAAATATATCATTAATTTGCTTACAATCACATGATTTTGAGTTCACTTCAAGCAATGCAAGAGAGAGAGAGAAAGAGAGAGAGTTTAACGTCCAGTCGACACAAAACAGGTAATTTCAGGACTAACTAATGGTTAAATTTTATTTCAATAGTTCGCTTGTGCATAGAGGTCTTTAGCTGTTGGATGAAACCGACTGGACTACTCCTTGTCATGTACAAGTGGGGAATTCCCAATAAGAACAGTATCATAACCTTCATATATATAGTCATAAAGAGTAATGTGAAACTTACACAGGGTTCACAAAACCAGTCAGCATCTTCTTTTAAGCAAGAGTTAAGATAACAATCAGGACAAACTTCTATTTCACGCATCTATTAACAAAAATAATACATATGATAATTTATCAATTCAATATAACTAAATTTCAGTATAGTTTCACTTAGGCCATATAAAAAAATATTCTAGTTCTCAGATAATCCTGTGTCACCATATTAAAATGTTTTAGTTGATTCTTGGAGGCACACAAAGATATTTTACCCTGGTCACAGGAATCCAAAAATGTGCTGTAGGTTCATTTATCAAGTATAGAACCCTGACAATCATAAGTGATACTGAATAATTATACATTGATACTGGATAATTAAACAACATGAAATAAACTTTGTCACTTAAAATGTGATGTTTATCAAAAGGTATTTAGCCCAGTAATGATCCTTTGACAAATAAGAACACAAAAATAAAAACCTCAGGATTGTCTGACAATCAGAATATATATTTTTTTTGTATGGCCTTATAAGTGTCAGATAATGAAGACCCTTGGGAAATAACGCCACACCTTGTCCTGTTACCATCAATTCATTGGCAGACCTATAAATGACAGACCTAACATCCACAGCTTTACCAGAGCTGTCAGATTATCAAATCATTTATTTCAGTGAAGAAATAAATTGTTAAATGTTGTGGTTTATGGTTAAATCATTTAAAACAATTAATTTTATGCCATGTAATTGACTTGATGGATAGATTTTCTGGTCAGCCAATTTCACTGAGACTCGGCAAGAACTTGACCAATATGAGAGTCGGTCATAACTTGACCAAGACAAAAGTCAGGCATTATACACTGCCACAGTAAATTGGATAATTAAAACAAGGGAAAACTGAAAAAATTCTGAAATATCTTGACAACCAATATTCTATGGATATGGCAAGCCCACAGGTCAACACTGAGTATTTGTATTCTTTTAATGCTATATTTTCATAGGTTGCATATATATCAGTGAATTGAATACATATTAAAATCTATGAGAATTATTTGCTATTGTCACAGTACAACAATATTTACATATACATGTACCAGTTGAAAACATTACCTCATGTTGACAGATTTTCATCATGGCTCTTGATGTCTTTGTTAAATGATGATCACCTACAAAGAAAAGTATATTTAAAACTTTATATAAACTCAGTTTTGTGTGACACATAATTTTCAGCCATTTCTAAAGAAGCAGGTATATCACAGTAATAATAACTGGTAACACGGAATAATAGGTCTAAAAGACCAAAAGATTTTTTTACTTATACCAATACCAACGTTATAATTATTGAACTTGTTGATTTGGTTTTATAAAAGGTGTTATGATTAGTGATGAGGCAAGCTGAATATGCCCTTTATTTATAAGCTCTATATGAAAAAACTCTGTATGAATAAACTCTATATAAACAAACTCTACATCAATAAGCTCTATATGAATAAACTCTATATGAATAAACTCTATATAAATAAACTCTATATGAATAAGCTCTTTATGAATAAACTATATATGTATAAGCTTGTTATGAATAAGCTCTGTATGTATAAGCTCTATATGAATAAATTCTATATAAATAAACTCTACATAAACAAACCCTATATGAAAAAACTCCATATGAATAAACTCTATATGAATAAGCTTGATAGATATGTATAAGCTCTATATGAATAAACTCTATATGAATAAACTCTATAAGAATAAGCTCAATATAAATAAACTCTATATGAATAAACAATATATGAATAAGCTCTATATGAATAAACTCTATATGAATAAACTCTATCAGTATAAGCTCTATATAAATAAACTCCATATGAAAAAGCTATATAAGCTCTATATGAATAAACCTTATATGAACAAACTCTATATGCTGTTTACTAATTTTAGTTTCACATACCATTATTGGAAATAAAAAGTTAAACTTACTGCCATTATAAACAGTACTGTTATGTAAAATCCATTTAGCATCTGCTAAAAAAGCTTCTGTACAGCCATATATTTTTTTACGTATATTCTGAAATAAATTCTAATCATTGAATATCATGCAAGAGGCTAGAAAACCAAGAACAATGAGAAATGACATGTAATATTTCAAGACATTGCGGGTCTATGGTAGGCTGTCCAAAACAATTTCTGTGTTCAAAGAGATATTCTGTAATTCATCATTAATAACACTGTCAGAGGCAACATCATTATTGACAGTATAGTTAGTTATGGTGCTTTCCATTTCCAATGTCTTTCATGAGTTATGTGATTTAATACTTTGTACATTTTGTTCCATATGCAGGTTTCATACTGTTTATTTATGAGTGCTTTAAATTTATTTCCGTCCATATTTGTGTATCCGTCCATTTTTTTGCACCTGTATATTTTGTATATTGTATGTTGTCCTCAAGGGAGGTTCCGATGCAATATTGTGTGTCTTGTGTAATAATTGTCATATCGTTATAATCTTTATGTACACGTTTATATTGTATGCTGTTCTAAATGGATGTTTCGATGCAATAAAATCTTATCTTATCTTATCTTATCTTATCTTATCATTGAGCCGACTGATCCATAAAAGTAAGATGTTAAACAACATTTCATTTCCATTTAAAACAATTCTCAAAACAATTGTGGTAGCAACTGACAACTCGGTAATCGCCATTAAAATTATAAATCACTACCTTGGCCAGTTGTCCCAGATCCATGGGATGAAAAACAAAATCTGAATAATTAGGAATAGCCACTTGGTCGACTGGTTTATCAAATGGGCCACTCTGAAAAATACAATTATAACATTGTCTACTTGGTGATACTAATTCATTACTTCATAATAGGAATGGGTTTTGATATCTAGTATGAAAGGACAGATGGATGCGTGAAGCAGGGTATAAAATTTGTTGAGGCCTGTACGTAGAGCTTTTATTTTAAACAAAGCCACACTTTACCAAAATCTCAAAAATGACACTTCAGGATTTTTTGTAAATAATAATATATTATTAGATATTTAAAATCACCAATCAACAGCCGTACAAATACAAACACGTTGAAATGATAGGTGGTTTATTCATCTTCATGACGGGTCAGTGTAAAGGACCCTTTATAATATAATATATTAGCATTTCAGAGTTTGACACAGGCCTTAAATTAACAACTAAATTGACTTTACCTCAGGAACTTGCATGCGTCTTAAGGCGTGTTTGAGTAAGGTACACAAGGTATCTAATGTTATCATAGACATAGCTTTAGATCTAGTCTCAACACATTCAGCCTTCATTATTTGCTGAAAGATAGAAATTGTACACAATTATTGCCCAGAAATAATGTTGAATAATCACAAGACTAAGGTTGTTAAATTAAATTGAAGCAATTGCAGATGAGTGTCACAGAACAGGTTCTCTCAGCTCAGAAAACAGATGTGGGGTGAGCAGAATTATGATGAAATCAAATCTTACAGTTTCAGCATATATTCCTGAAGCAATGGACCGAGAAATCCCTCTCTAGACCGAAAACTGAGTCTTTGGCGGAGCATGTCCATTCTCATCGTCCAATCAAATCTCTCCTAAGTAAATTAACCAGGGTGACCTCTTTTTAAAAAAAATCCCATTGTTTGTTAGTGCTGATTTTAAGAAAAATTTTACCCTTGGATGCATCAGGAACAAACATAGATACTCACATAGGTAAATTTGCCTGTCGCTGACACTCGCTATTGGAACGAAAATACGTTATGTACTGGTTGTTGTTCAGACTGTTAACTAGTCATAATTTGGGACAGAAATTTGCGCTGAGAATGGCAGAGTTTGAGTGGGATTAGGTCTAATCAAACGAAACACTGCGAGGAGTATGCAGTTTCAGTGATTGTTTGAGATAGTATTATTTTCAGTTGGTGCATTGGTTGATGCCTTAAATACTCGGGAATTGATAGGGTTTAATTCCAGAACATTCCATTGAGTGTCCCCAAAGTTTTTACAATAATTACAAAACCAGTTTTAAAAAAAAATAAATCACTTACCTCACATTCTGTACACACCCAATCGTTAGGTAAATCATTGTCAATTATACCTAGACATTTGGTATGAAAAACTCTTGGACACAATTCACAACCAACTAGTTCACCATCTTTATGACACATCCAACAAAAATAATCATTCTTATTGTCCTGAAAACACAAATAATCATTCTTATTGTCCTTAAAACACAAATATCTTCCTTAATTATAAACAATCATTCATTAGAGTTCTGAAAACACAAATAATTATTCTTCATTGCCCTGAAAACAAAATAAACTATAATTGATTTCTGGAAATACAAAACTGAGAAAATGTATCTAGAAAATCCAACTTACATTTCCAGTGCCATCATTTTTGGCAATTTTTCTCCTTTTAGGTAATGGAGCAGATGGACTAATATCTCGACCAGCATTTCTCTTCTTACCGTGACCTGTTTCTGGACAATAAAAAGATAGGTTGCCAGACATTTAAACATATGACAGGAATGAAGACAACAATTCAGTTAGGGCATATCAAAATATAATGAACTTACATGTATATCTAGTATGAATGAACACAGATTCTCATATTACACTGCTAGTAAAGCCAAACGCAGACGATGGAACATTTATGTCGACGAACAAAAGCACCAATCAAATAACATGATTTCAAATTGGTACACATATCACATAACATTTGAAAAATGTTCCGCAAATAATCGGCTTCAACGCAGACGACAAACTGACTTCCAAACATCTAACACGTTCGATTTCACAAACATTTTTACAGAACATTTTTGTTCGTGTTTTTTTAACCTGCTGCGGGCGAACAAATTAATCAGAACAATGTTTTCATGAATGTTTGCCTAAAATATTCCATTGTGTGCGTTCGGCTTTAAAGAAACCTCTGACTGCGTTCATGTTTTGTATTCAATATTTATCTTCTTAATACTGGATTTGAAATAATGATAGAATATCCCTGTTCATTTCTACCTAGAATCAAGAGGGAGAAATGGATTTAACATACAACACAAATTGTATTTTATTTCAATAACTTGCTTTCATGTGGGGAGGACCCAGAGAAAACTCACAAGGTTAAGCAGGCAACCCTAACGCGTACTTGTTCTAGCACATATTTGACTGTCAATACCTTTTTGTGGTTTCGCTGCTTCCTCCTCTTCCGTCGTTTTGATATCTTTAATTGTTGATGTTCCGTTCATAAATAAGGTTCCTGTTGACAAACGAGTTCTAATACTTTTGTTTGATCCGGCAGAACTGGGTGGAGTTATATCTGAAAACGAACGTTAAATGAATGAGTGGCGTACATAAATTAAATATCCTGAAAGTGAATGAGAGCGTTAAAATGCTGCTGTCTTCACTTACCAAGTAGGTGTAGAAAAGCAGAATGTTGTATCCCATTTTGTTTAATTTGAAAATCAGTTATGTTTGGTGAAATACGCGAAGAGTCCAAATTGAATAGCAGTCCTTGGCATTTGGTTATTCCAGTCTAGACATGTAGTATTCTTCTGTGGGATATGTTTAGCGAAAGAGAGAGAAATGGGGTTTAACGTCCACTCGACACAAACTAAGTCATTTCGGGACTAACATATGGTTAAATTTTATTTCAATAATACACTTGCCCGTAGGGGTCTTTAGCAGTGGGGGGAAACCTGAGGACCCAGAGAAAACCCACGAGGTTGGACAGGCAACCCTTTTCCTTGTCACGTACAACCGGGGATTCGAAACCACGCCAGTTTACTTAATGACAGGCCTTATGATACAGCACGCACGTGCTAACCATTCAGCCATCCAACCCTTCAAAAGAGGCAGATGAAATTGTATATAATATAGTTCCTAGGACAGCGACATGAGACTCCATTTGCATTGGAATGATCAGTATGTAAAGTCCATTTCAGATATTGAACCACTTGATGTATATTTCAATGGCAATTAGTAGCTAATTCTGTCCAATCATATTTATATTGTTGTTGGTCCTGTTAGTTGGTACATTCATCCTCAATTCCTGGACACGCTGGAGGATAAAATTATTATAACACTGAGTTGAAATTTATACACAGCCTGGCTTCAGTTTAGCACGAATACTGCATCACCTAAATTTCTGTTTTAAACAAAAGACAAACGATGTTTCCAGATCGCAAACTATTCTTTTAACGGACGTTTTGCTATCATTTTCTGTTGTATAAATGAAGACGGGTAATTTTGCAGGGATATTACTGACGTGAATTTGAAGCAGGTACAGTATTCTTCTTTGTATAAATGAAAACGTGTAAATTTTTTAGGGGAGAGAGAGAGAAATGGGGTTTAACGTCCACTCGACACAAACTAGGTCATTTCGGGACTAACATTAGTTTAATTTTATTTCGATAATTCGCTTGCGCGTAGGGGTCTTTAGCAGTGGGAGGAAACTGGAGGTCCCGGAGAAAACCCACCAGGTTGGACAGGCGACCCTACTTCTTGTCATGTACAACCAGGGATTCGAAACCACACCAGTCGACTCAATGACAGACTTTATTTGATACAGTGCACACACGCTAACCATTCAGCCATCCAACCCCCCCAAATAATTTAGGAATATTACTAACATAAATTTGAAAATTTGTACGGGAATTAAATATGAAAAATAGAGAATTGTACCTAGATTTTTGTATTCAGAAAAGATATGCTACATAACATTAAAATATTTGTAGTTGAAGTCTATTAAAGAGAATGGAAGCTTATTGACGTTATTTTCGGAAGCTGACAAACAACTTCTGGTAACAACCTAATTCTGGCCTCTATTAACCCCAACTAAAAATGTTAGATGAGCAAAATTTTGGAACAGTATGCCTGGTTTATATTAATGATATCAATACTACTGATTTTCAAAATTTTAGATAATTACTCAAACAAGTTCTGATCCTTGATCACTATAATAAATCTTGTTAACACTTTAGCAGTTAAGTTGTCATCCAATTGAATTTATCTTGATACAAAGGCAACGAAGATGGCTATTGTAATGACGTCAACAATGACTGATGATGGCCTTGTTGCTAAAGTTGACAACACACTGTCTTATCTATCATTCACCAACAATATAGAGAGGTGATATTATTAACTGTTAATGTGGAGAGGATCATTCATGCTTTACATTCACCTGCTCCATCAAACATTATTTTTTAATTCTTATTCCATTAAATATATTACCAGTTGCTTGTCACAATTTATGCAAGCACCCAATCCAAAGGTAATGACATGACGTTAAACAAAGACTTTGTATTGTAACCATACTAGCAGCCTTCCATGTGTAAACAAACATTTCTTGCTGTGAATACTCACAATTTAGTACAAGAAGACAAGAAATATGTATAGAAAATTAAAGCAACCCTAGTCTTATCTTATTTAAGCAACTTTCTTAGGAAACCATTTACAAGGAAATCGTAATTATGTTATCAATGACATTGGCATAGCACTGATTATGGGATAACTATGCACCATAGTTCATAACTTCTATCATTGAAATTAATATGGCTCGTGATAGGTCCCATCTAATGTATGAATTTCTTGTTATAAAATACTGTGTTGGCATAAATAATTCTTTCTTACTCCAAATATACTTACTTCCTAACTTTATCGAGTTTGTTGAATATTGCCTCATTATAATGTCGCCATGTTACCATCTTGGCTAATGATCATTCATGATGGCTTAGCCTGGAGGTCGGGTGTTCGATCTCTGCATTGGCCGAGAAAGTTCATCCAGATTTTCTGGCGTGGTTCCCCCTTGTCAGTGATGCAGGATGGAGGGCCTGACAAGGATAGCTGTCTAGTCCTTCGGATGAGACGGAAAACCGAGGTCCTGTGTATACATTGGACTGCACGTAAAAGATCCCTTGGCAGTTGGAATTCGATATAAAAGTAGGCGATAGTGCCGCTGCCTGGGCAAAATTTCCCTAATAGCACACTGTTTGGCGTATGCCCGTCTTCATTAGCCCAGCATAGGAGCAGAAAAGTAGGACGTTAAACCCCATTTCAAAAAAACAATTACCTTTATCAGCAGGTTGTAGCGTGGGCGTGGCAGCACCAGATCTACGTCTGGTGGTCGAATCATCTTTATTTCTTAAGGTAGTAACTTTAGTCTTAGTTTGGCTCATTGGCTGAAGTAAAAAACGAAAAAATGGTTAGAGAACTGTTACCAGGTGTTCTTGAGATATTACGCACACATTTCACAGCTTACAGTTAGATGGAGTGCTACTATGATCATAGCAAAATTAAATCCCAACATATTTTTACTATTAGATCAGACATCTTTGTTTTAAATATCCACACACTATTTAATAAATATACAAATTTTTTTAAGAATCTCCGCTAAAATGGTCTATTATGACAGCAAAAATACTATAGTGTTGCGATGTTAATATATTCAAGAATGCTAAAATGCCATTTTTCTATGAAATTTAGTTAATACATGTAGTAAACATTTAAAACATACAGAATAAATATGGCCGACATATTTTGTTGTCTGCTAACAAGCTATGGCCGTCTGCCAAAGCCAGTAAAATCAATGATTAATGTACAAAGCTACATAAGCCAATACTTGCTATCTGCCGCTCACTAACAGCAATTGGAGTAATAACTTTGTTTAATAAAAATTTGGAAATATAACTTCAAGGTCTAAACTTCAATTTGAAAAAAAGATATTACATGTCTATGTTATTGTCTATCGTTATGGAATTACAGAAAGCAAAGGCCTCCACAAACGTCTTTGATTATTTACTAAAATTAATAAAATCTTGAAATTCTGATCTAAATAAAGATAAATGATTAGAAAGGTTACAAATTCAGTGCCCTAAATTTTCAGCAAATTACCCGAAATTGTATTGCTGCCCAAAAATGATTTGAATTTAGTTGCAAAATTATATTTTGAATATAGGGGGTAGAGGTAGATTTAGAGACTTTGGTCTGGTTCAGAGAATAATTAATATTCAGCAACGTTTCTCTTGGCATGACCATGGTCAGTAATAATTCTCTATTACTCTTGATTCTACGAAACCGATTAGGCAAGCATCACAGCCTTAAAAGTGTACATTTAGTCAGTCTCCTTTTATGGCAAGGAAGCCACAGTGGTTCAGTGAGTAAGGTGCTGGCTCATAGTCACCCCTTGTCAGTTGTTCAGGTCAGAAGGCCTGGCAAGGAACAGTGTCTAATCATTTGGAAGGCACGAAAATTTGAGGTCACATGTAGACATGGACATGCACATAAAAGAACCTATGACAGTAGGAATTCAAAACAAGAGTAGGTTATAGCACCACTGTCCGGACGTTAAACACAATTTCATTTCTAGAACGGCAGGGTATATGCCTTTCTGTCTCACACAAACAATGTTTATGCAGGTATTGATATATTATGTCTTATTTCATTCCTGGTTTATGGTATTATGAGAAGGTGGGTTGTTCCGCCCTTATATCACCAAGAAAAACTTATTTCAAGAAGGCAAAATATTACTGGTATGTAGAATACGGTAATGATACTGACAGCGATATAGCCAATATCGCCCTAGTTCTTTCAATTTTAAATGGCAACAAGTTACACATATCTATGGAATTACAATCAATGTTAATTACTGAATGACATTTCAACTACTAGTAGGATTCTAGTCTATAGATAAAATTTGATCTCATGATAAGATTGTGCACAAAATTTCAATTTGTTACAGTTCATATTCTAACTAAGCTATTCCATAAGAGTATTAAAACAAAGGTATAGTTGTTAGGCGGGCACACACTAGGCAAATAATCGCCGCCGAAATTCACCTCGTGTGTCCAGAGATGAGTCGCGATGCCGAATTTGTGTTTGATATTTTCGGACGAGTTTTCATTAACCGTGTTTATATTTGTCTGGTATGTCCGGTTTGCCGAAGACATCGCCTGATTGTCGAATTCATTAGCCAATCACTGATGCCGAGAAAGTCACATGACTTCATGACAACAATATAGCACCTATCACCATAGGCGTACGTGGAAATTTTTGACTGGGGGGGGGGGGGGGCGGTTGTGGTTGGTGCCCAAAAAATGTAGTTAGGTTCTTAGTATGTTACATAATAATAATAAATTCACTGTTAAATTGGACACATTCAAGAACACAATATTTTTTTTATACAACTTTTACAAAGTACAATTGTGTGCCCAAATTTTCCCAGCATTTGGTCCGCCTATGCCTATCACAGCTTCATAACTGCTGTCTTCCTCTGCCAATTCTCGAATGAGAATCCTCCCACCACTTTCTATACCGATGCATATGGCGGAAAATTTTTAAAAATTCCACCGCTATAGCTATTGTTTTTCCTTTTCTTAGTTACTGCCATGTTTTATCACGTAATGTCAAAGGTGATGCAATCGACTGGAGAATGGGGTGGAGAATATGCCTAGTGTGTCCACTCAATCGGTCGAATGAATTCAGCTTCAATCCAACGTTGATTGATCCAAATGAATAAGTTGGGGAAATATTTGTCTCCTGTGTCTGCTGCTTTAGTTATTAAAACATCCAAAATATATTATATATGGTTTATAAATATAACTGTACTTTCTGTGAATTACAATATTGTACATGCTGATATACATATAAATTTAAAATTGAACTAATGAAAACCATGTTTGCTTGTATTGTTCTTTCCTGGAAATGTATCCTCAGAAGTATTCATTATTTTTCCAATTAAAGAATCTTCCTATGACACTGTCTAAGATGTGCGAGGCCCAGTCTAATATATTTGAAGATATTATGTAGATTAACTCCATAGTAGGCTTAAGTTCATAAATCTAGGTCATTTATATGTGTATACTTAATACTTACTGTTTATTTAGAACTAATAAAGTAAAGCATCACTGCTGTTTTTAACAAATTTTTTGCACTTGTGTTAAAAATCACGATTTAAGAAGCAGCAACATTAAGAAAGCTTTCTGTTACTGATTTAGTTAGTTACGTTGCATAAAGTTTAAACAATTTCTACAATAGATCAAGTTTTGTATCATAATTTCATTGCATGCAATTGAATTTGGTTGCAAATATTCCTGCACAATAATAAAAATGGTTTCCAATAGTCTGAAATGACTAGGCCATTTTGATCATTGTTCCAGGGTCTGGAAGGTGTTAAAGGACAAAGCAGGGTACATAAATGTAAATGTGATGAACGTCGCATGTGTGCATTGACTTTATAGTGACACGCACCTATTTTGTACATGACTTTAGCGCTTGCAAACTTCTATATTGTGAAAGTTGAATCTGTAAATAGGCATATCAGTCTAAAAATACTTCAATTTGTTCAGTATTTACAAAGATATTAACTATATGCTTCTCCATTTATAACAAGACAACTACTATCTGTATTTGCCGTGAACTAAATTGATGGGTCTGTTTTAAATTTGATTGAATCCATGTTGGGAGATTATCTAACATTGGTATTTTTCATTTAGTTTTCTTAATTAAATGTTATCTGTGTACATATTAGCGTGGATAAGGATGTGAGAAATTGGACATTTTAAGAAAAATGCAAATAAAGAACATAAAGAACATTTTTATTTCAATAATTCACTTGCACCCAGGGATCTTTAGAAGTAGGAGGAAACCAGAGTACCCACAAAGATGGACAGGCGACCTTACTCTTTATCATTTTCTGGTCTGGGATGGAAATCACATCACTTGGCTCAATGACAGTCTTTATGATCTAAAGTGCATTCTATTTGGCCACCTTAAATCAGGTAGTGATTTACAACAATTTCCTTATTGATAGTAGATATTCACTATTTTCTCTTCCTTAATTATATTTTTCTTGTTTTTAACTAGTGAGATAGGTTTTAAAAATTTGTAATAATTAAAGGAGCTAAATCGCTATTCTTTGGCACCTAGAAATGGCGCAAATGGGTCACAATGCATATAATAATGTAATATGAATGTATATAAACTGATTTACATTCAATCGGTTCTGTTTTACTGTAATTTCTAATCAGTTATGTTTCGCGAAATACGCGAAGAGTCCAAATTGAATGGCAGTCCTTGGCGTCTGGTTATTCCAGTCTAGACAGGTAGTATTCTTCTGTGGGATATGTTTAGCCTTGTTCATCAAGTCACTTCATAACAAATGGCGCTCTAAAGCAATTAGGCACGCGATTCGTGTGCCATTTGAAATTTTCACTGTGTCTTAAATATTGGATATCAGAAGCCCATAAGATAGCAACATTAATGTTGATTTAAATAGACCAATAAGTCATGTTTGCAATGTCGAAAACTGCGGATGATATTGAGTTAAAGACTTGTCTTCTTTAGCCAATAATGGCTTGGGTTACTTTTATATAATGTAAGACAAGAAATTAATGTGACTTGAAGGGACCACAATATCCTCAGAATAATTGATCTAAAAGGGGGCCCTTCATGTAATTTTATAGTTTTAATGAGTCTATGTAATAATTCATATCAATCCGAGACACTTGCAAAATAATATTCTCTAATAACGCCTATAGATTATCCCTTGATTACCTTGCTTACTGTAAATATAATATGTTTTCAAACATTGTATTTAAGTAATATAGAGTTAGGTAAGATTCATTAAGTTTGTAGATGACTATACTTTTGTATGTTTAGACTCTATCCAAAGATTGAAGATCATTTGTTTTTATAAATCAATAACAATAATACTATATAAGATACAATTTAACATAAAATGACATCCTTAGAAATGATGACGGTGTTATGTTTGACAGTACCCCTGACTTATAGCATAACTATTTCATGTTTAATAATATGACAGGCAAGCACTACTTTCTTGACCCGATTAATTTATTGTTTTACAGTATAAACAATATTGATTAGCCATTGTACATGTCAAAAAGTAACATTGCATTGAGATCACATGAGAACTAAAACATGCCCAAATGACAGTCTATGATTTCTGGTTTGTATTTGTGCATGTAATCATAGGAGTGGCAAGATTAGCCTATTACTGTATCCACCTGTAGACGGACGTTTCGGCTATAGAAGTTTCAGACAGGTTAAATAGGCGTTAAATGGTGCTAACCGTAACTAATTGTTTTAGGGGAGGATTTGCGATAACGTCATACATTCGTTTTCACCACATGGATAAGAAATCAAACTATAACAATAAAAC